TCTTTTAATCTAATAACTAGATCTAATTTCTTTAGATTAATAGCTATTTTATTATTTAGTATAATTTTATTATTAGCTATTTTATTAATTTAAAAGATTTTAATAAAATAGTTTATACTAGATCTTATAATATTAATTTTAAATATTTCTTTTTTCTTTCTAATAGTTCTTTCTAAATAGAATATAAAAAGTAAAATTATAATAATATCTATACTTTTTATAAAGAGTAATCCTTAGATTAAATAGAAAGTTCTATAGAGTTATATAAAACTAGTTAATCTAATAGTTTAAATTATTCTAATAATTCTATAAGCTTATTCTCTTTTCTTAGATCTAATAGCTCTTTAAATCCTAATATAAGATTAAAAATCTAACTTTTATTATAAATTACTTTTTAGTTTCTCTCTATACTAATCTAATAAATAGAACTTAAGAGATTTAATTAAATTAGAAATCTAATAAAAAGAAAAACTAGTTTATTTTTCTTTCTTTTTTCTATATAGAAGAAAAGAAACTCTTAGTTATTAGTATTTATTATATTATTTTTAAACTTTCTTTCTAAATTATAAAGCTCTATTAAGCTTCTCTTTAGTAGTTCTAAGTAATATTAATAATCTAAAATCCTTACTTTTATTAAATAGTTCTTATTAAATAATCTAATAGAATTAGAGCTAGAGTAATTCTAATAGAGATCTCTAGCTTTTAAAAGAAGAATTTTAATTATATTATAATCTATACTTTTAAATCCTTAATATTAAATAATACTTTAGAAAGTACTTTCTATTTCTAAAGCTATAAAAGAATAATTTCTTTTTAGATCTATTAGTATTATATTACTCTTAAGAAGAGTTTAATTAATTAATTATAATCTCTATAAGTAATTATATATTTATTCTTCTATTAATTTTATCTCTAGATATTAGAATTAGGGTTTTTAAAGCTCTAGCTCTAATTAGATTCTAATTACTTATAGATAGATAATATCTAAGTATAAGTAATAAGGATCTTTTCTATAGATTAATAATTCTTAGAATATCTTCTTATAGCTAAGAGGAAGGTTTATAGATAAAAGATAAGTAATTAGAAATTCCTATTAGATATATCTAGATTCTTCTTACTCTAGTAGTATAAAAGTACTTTCTTCTTAGGATAAAGTTATTTAAAAGACTAAATAGTAGTTAATTAATTAGAATTTCTTACTTTAAGAATTAAACCTAGATAAAACTACTATATAAGTACTAGTAGAATTTTCTAACTAATAATACTATAACTAAAGACTAAATAGATCTATAGTTATAATATTAATATTAGTTAAAAAAGAGAAATTATAACTAAGCTATATAGTTAAAGCTAATAACTATAATTAATTATATATATATTTAATATTTAATTAGGAATTTCTATATTTAATTAATTAAATAAGATTATTTAGATTATTATATAAATTAAACTAACTATAGAATAATAAGTTAAAGATTATAATTTTAAAAATAAAGAATAATTTAAGAGTAAAGATAGTTTTTTATTTTTAGAGTAATAAAAATATACTACTTAAGTAGTATATAGTAAATTACTCTAATTAATTATAGAAATTATATATACTCTTACTAATTAAACTATTTAAAATTATTTTATTAAATAATATTTTTTTTTATTAGTTTTATTATAAATAAAAATATATTCTAAGATTAGATAATATATAATTTAATATATATTTTTTAAGAATATAATTAATAGTTTATATTTAAACTTTTAATACTATAAGATAAAATTAAAATTAAATACTTTTAATCTAAGTATAGATATTAATATCTTAAAAACTCTAATAATAGAAGCTATTTATATAGCTAGATATATAAATAGTCTAGCTATAGCTATAGCCTCTAAGAGAGAAAGCTTATTATCTAATAATAATAACTATCTTTTCTTATCTTAATTAATTAATTAATTAAATTAAATTATTAATTAATTACTTAATTAATTAATTACTTAATTAATTAATTACTAAATATCTTAAATAGCTATAATATCTAATATAAATATTCTAATCTCTTAAAGCTTATTTAATACTATTAATAAGATTTTTAAAATAATAATAATTATTATTTAAGATAATCTAATATAGCTATTTACTAACTATATTTATTATATATCTTTTTAATTAATTAAGAGCTTATTTATAGTAATAAAGCTACTTTTAATAGTATAAGTCTAATAGCTATATCTACTTAGATTATTATTTTACTATATAATCTACTACTAGTAACTATTATAAATACTTATAAAGAATTAAAATTAGCTTAAGTAAATATTATATCTTAAGAATAATTACTCTTATATATAGATCTATTATAATCTAATATATAATTTATAATTTTAATATATTATATATTATATTAAATTAATAAGAGTAAAAATAGTTTTTAAAAATTAATTATTTAAACTTTATATTATTTTTAGTTATATTTAGATTAGAATATTAATTAGATTAGATTAAGTTTAATATTAATATATTAGAGTTTATTTTAATTTAATTTAGAATTATATATATTTAAAAATAAAAAATTAATTACTTTTAAGATTATAAATTAATTTATCTCTATAAATATAATATATATTTACTATTATAGAAAATTTTTATTAGAAATAATATAGATTTAATATTAATCTAATATTTATTTATATATATTTAATTATACTATATAATAATTAAATAATATTAATATTATTATTTTTAAGTTTAATTAGATAGTAGAATTATAGAAAGATATTAAAATAAAGTTTTAATATAATAGAATTATATAATTATTTAATTAAATAAGCTTAGATTTAAAATATAAAAAATTATTTTCTAATAATAGTATTATTTTAAATACTTTTTTAAATATTAATTAGAATTAAATATTTATAGTAGAGATTTTAAAGAAAAAAAAAAATTAAAGAAAAAAAAACTATAAATTTTAATTTTTAAATTTAAATTAATAGAATAAAACTAAGAGTTTTAATTTTAAATAATATATTTAATAGTTAAAATCTTATAATTATTTAGTATTAAATTATAATTATAAATATATTTAAAATTAATTTTATTAGAATATTAATTATTTATTTCTTTTAATTTATAATATAAATATATTTAAAGAAATAATAATAGTTTTTAATAAATTATTTTATATTTCTTTAAAATAATAATTTTTTTATTCTAATAATAGTTTTAATAAATATTATAAGCTCTAACTATTAAATAGATATTAAAATAAGAATTAATTATATTAATAATTAGATAAAAGAATAAATTAAAATTATATTTTATTCTAATAGAAACTAGAGAATAAAAAGAAGAGTTAGTAGAATAGTAATAATTTCTAATAAGTATATTAAATAATATAATAAAATTAGAGATAAAATAAATAAATAAAAAGAACTTAATAATTAATATTAATTAATTAATTAAAATAAAAAAAGAAATCTTAAAAATAAAGAAAAGTTTAATTATTTTTATAATAGTTATAGTTTAATTAGTAATTTTAATTAGAATTAAAGTTTATTAAGAGTTAATATAGCTAATTTATAATCTATAGAGTTAGAGCTTTTATAGCTATATCTAGAGAGAATTTAAAAAACTATTTTTATTTCTAAATAGTATAAAAGCTAATTTTTAATTATAGATTTTAAAAATATAACTTATAATCTTTTATATTTAATTTTATTATTCTACTATAAGTAATATATTAAAAAGTATTTTTATAAGCTTTATTATAAATAATTAATTAATTAATTAAATATAAATCCTATTAAATATATAACTAATTTAAAATCTATATTCTAAATATATTTTACTTTTCTTCTTCTTATTAAGATATAGCTATAAGCTAATTTAATCTCTTTTATAAATAATAGAAATTTATAAACTTAATAATATTTAGTATAAAATTTTTTTATATAGAAAATAGTTATTTTAAAAAAGAATTAAAAGGTTTATTAGTATCTTAGTATAATATAAATAGTAAATTAATCTTTTATTATAATAAATAAAATAAAGAACTAATTTTTCCTTCTATAAATAGAGCTAGATAATATTTTAAAGTTAGATAATCTTTAATTAAAAATAATATTAATAAAAATAATTAAATAACTATTAATAGCTAAGATTAATTAATATAATCTATCCCTAAATAAAATTAGTTTAATTAGTCTCTTCTAATCCTTCTATATACTGAAAACTATTATAAAGCTTAAGTACTTATTTAATAAGTAATAATCTTAAGTATATCTAGATAATTAGTAGGAAACTAAAATAATAATCTATATTATCAGTAGGATCCTTAGAGACTATACGAAGGAGATTATTTTTAATTAGTTAAAAATAATCAAGATATATTATCTATGAATCCCACTGTGAAGATATCTTGGTCATCCTTTAGCCAGTCATATAACGTTCTGATATATAGTATGAAGAGAATCGGGGATAATGGCGAGCCCTGGGGTACTCCAGCCTTGATCCGTATCGTATTGGAGTCTTCTCCGTCGAATCGCAGCACTGCTTTTCTCTGTTCAAGATAAGACTCCAGCCATCTCCCTACCCAGACTGAGAGTCCTTTCGCGCGTATGACCTCGATCAGTTTGCTCTGCGGGATCGTATCGAATGCGCTGGTAAAGTCAAGCAGTAAGATCGTCACAATTCCCCCCATCCTCCATGCTGTTCGTATCGCTTCAATGCATAATTTGAGCGCAGCTTCCATGGATCTATTTTTCTGTTGCCCATTTGTCCTTTCGGGAGGAGTCCATGTTCCTCCGCTGCGGCTGCGATTCGGTCTCCAATCACTTTCTCGATGATCTTCCCCATTGTGTTTAGTAGTGATATCGGCCTCTACCTACTTGGGGTCTCCTTTTCCCCCTTTGATTTCCCAGGTTTGCCCAGAACTATTGCGGTTGCGTCTCGGAATCTCTCCGGGAAGTACCCTGTCTCAAAACTATTTGTTGCTAGGTGTGCCAGTGCTTCACGAAGCGGTTTCCCACATGCTTGTTTTCAGGAATCCTGTGGGTATCTCGTCTGGTCCAGGGGCCTTCCACGGGGCTATGCCCTTCAGGGCTTCCTTAATATCTCCTTCCGTGACGTATGTGAGTACTGGTGCCGAGCCCGGGGGGGGGCACATTTCAGGCCCGGGATCGGGTCGTCTCCTCGCGCCGACTCGGGGAAGAACTTTTCGCTTAGGGCCTTTGCTTTTCCTCGGTGCGTTTTGTGCTGGATCCCCCTCCTATCCTTGATCCCAGGAAGCTTCGGCAGCTCATATGCGCTCCAGCTTCTTAGTCTTGCCCACTTCTCAAGGGCCCATAGCTGTTTCTCGTCCGTTCCGGTACGAGCCAGAACTTCTCTCCATTTTTCTCGCTTTGTATATATCATCGCTTTCTCTTCCTGTTTCTCAGTCTCCTTGAGTTCTTCCCAAAGTATCGGGTTCGGGTCTGCCTTATATCTCCTCCGAGCTGCTTTCGTTGATCGTGTTTTCCCCATGACTACTGGTGTGTGCCACTCTTTTACATCTGAGGGTTCTTTCCGGGGTTTCAGCGGTACCATAACGTTTGCTATATTGTTTATCCCCCCCACAATGTAGTCTGAAAAGTCCTCTATTTCGCTTGGTTGACTCATGGGTTGTCACGGCCCCTGGAAGACTTCCTCGGCTCTCTCCTTTGTTTTCCATAAATCCATGAGCTTCCACCTTCTCATCGGTTCGTTACAGTTCGTCCCCGTATATACTTTGATCCGGGCTGCTTGTGCTATATAGCCGGATCCAGTAAGCTCCTCATCTGGTCCGAGGTATCTGGTGTTGGAGCTGTTGGTTGCCCATATTAGGTCTATGGTGCTCGTTCTGTGACCTTGGAAGGACCTCGTGACTTCTCCCCTTGGCGTTATTAACCCGATTCCTTTCCGTAGCGTTTCCATTACTACCTCTTCGCTTCCAGGGGAGGTCCTTCCATGTATGTCCCACATCGGGTTATGGAGGTTGAAGTTCCCCACAATTACGTTCTTCGTGACCGGGCTCATTCCTTGTATAACTCGTATCGGTACTGTTGGTGGTGAGCTCGGTGGTGAGTATATATCCCAGACCTTCACATTCTCTTTCTTAAACCAAACTGCACACCAGTCTTCTCCGCAGTCCGCTTCCCAAGTCTCTGGGTTGTGCTTGTTTCGTATGTATATCGCGGCTCTTCCTCCCCCACATATTAGTTGGTATCCTGCTCTTGCAGGGCATGCTTGAGCCCCTTTTTCTGGGGCTATGTTCGGTTCTTGAACCGCCACCACATCGTATCCGGCGGTAGTCCGTAGTGCTTTCTGTGTGTTTACTGCCTTCTTATTCAGGTTCCAGGTTACGACTTTTATTTCCATTTAGGCGAACGGGTCATCTTCTGCGTTACTGGTCAGGGCCGTTTGTTCCCCGTTGTTTTCCTGATTCCTGTTCGAGTGTGCTGTCACTGCTGCATGTAGTCTCGTTGTATGAATAAGTTTGCGAAGGTCTCCTCCGTGGTTTGGTCTTGGGCTTCCTGCCCTGTCTCCATTTAGGCGTCTTTTATTCGTGCTTCCCAACGGTCGTCCTGCTCTTTTCCTCGGGCTCAGTGGTATTCTAGGTCCGGGATCCCCATGGGCACGTTCCGCGGTCTTTGCTCTCTGTTTGTCTTCTTCTCCTTGATTTGTTCTCGCCTCCTCGAAGTGGGTTGGCCTGTATTGATACAGGTTTCGTGCCCGGTCCCATTCCTTCTTCGACTAGGGGCATGCCCTATCCCACGACGGGTGGTTTCCTTTGCATAGGATACACCTATGGTCTCTCTCCCCTCTTGCTGCTGGACCTTCCTCTTTACTCGGGTGCGCATCGTTCGCACATCGGCCGCATCTCGGGCTCCTACCGCAATACCTTGCGATGTGGCCATATTCGTAGCAGTTATAGTACTGCCTCGGTTGTGCCGCAGCATAATACCGGTCACATTCGCTGACTTCCGCTTCGATTATTACTCCCTGGGAGCATAGCTTGTTCGCCTGGACCGGAGTCGCCACACTTATAGTTATGGCCTGCTTCGGCCCGGGCTCGCGTCTACTTCTAATCGGTTTCATATTGAGGATCACCACCCCATTCGTGTTCCCAATCTTTTTCCATGTCTCCTGGCTCTGCTTTGCCATACTTGACGTCCGAACTCCCTTCGCTATAACTGTATATTATCTTCGGGTCAGTACTGTATCCGGTTGGAATGCGGTCTTGATCCAACCGTCCGTTCGTGTGTGTTTTGTCGCGTCTCGAATCACGTTATTCACAGCTTTTACGATGTCCGTTGGTGTTCGTTCGTCTATTTCGGGTCGGCTGCCTTTGGTCTGGATTGTGATCTCGCGTGCGTGCCTTGCCGGGACCGGTTTCGCTCGTATATCGATTCGGTTTGAAGTCGCGTTCGATGAAGCTACGTTCGCCTATGTTATCGTGTTCCGGGATTGTCCTGCAGGTTGGAGCGCCTTGGCGATGTTTTTCTCAATTGATTTCTCGATTATCTTGTCGATTCTCGCGTTGAGGTCCCGGGTGTTTATCTCCTTGGTTCCGTTACGCGCGCGTTGTCGTGTCTTCTCGAGGAGGGTTTCCACGATCTGCCACACCTGGCTGACCACCCCTCATTCACCAGGCTAGCAATCTCGTGGTACGCCTTCTTCTCGATGTCTTCGTCGTTTCCACATTCAGTCGGTTCAGGCTGGGTTGCGATTGGGACTTACAGTGATACCTTATCGGACAGCCCGGCTAAGGGGCGGTGCACGCTTGACTCGAGTCCACGTCGTCCTCCATCGATGACCATCGGCAACCCGACGTCGTCAACGGCTAGACCCTGATGCGCCATCGGCACGGGGCCTAAACGGGCTCGATAAATCGATTCCTGGGATTTTTGAGTGTTTTAGATGTTGTTTCGGCGCTGTATCTGGCTGTATGCGGATTCGGGCGCGTTTAATTTCATTGAGTACCTATTATAATAACTTGAAGAGAGTCTTAATTAGACCTGAAAAAAAATTCTGTTCTATTTTAATCTTAGGTGTGGCATTAGTGGTGTCTAAACATTTGTCCTCTGCTTTTGGAAGTAATCGGTTCCAGTAAAGGCAGCAGAGCCCTCGGGTCTAGGTGGCACATACGCACTCGACAAGAGCTTGACGGGATCGCGTGTTCTCGAATAGGTATGGTCGTATGTACTAGCGGTATGTTAAATGCATCCTATATAGGCCGTAGGTGGACGATATGTGAGGTAATTTGCACACACTCAACTTGCAGGTTGATCGTAATTTGACTCGGTGGAGTAGAAACGGGAGCAGCCGGGAACCCGCTGATTTTGGCGTACAGCCCCTAAGCTAGGTTGAATGCCAGTTGATGAACCTCCTGTCCTGCAAGTGCTGATGAACTATATCGCTGGCTCTTCTGTTTCGTAGAATAGCCATAATCAGAGCGGTAGAACGTAAGATGAGAATTCTGTAGGGGAAATACGCTTTCGTTACGCTGCAGATCTTCTCGTGCGCACTGGGCCTAATTCCTGATTTTCCTCAGCTGCCGGGTACAGCTCATCCAAGGGCCGCCAAAGCAAACGAAACCAGAGGTCGCTCTGAAGGTAGGCAATGTTGTTTTGCATCGGCTGGCTCTGAGCAGCTGTCTCCAGAGGGGAGGAATTCCTACAATTCCCGCCAGACCGTACATGAATGATGCCGGTTTTAGGCCGGCATAATGATCATGACGAACCCCAGCTTGACAGAGCCACTCAGACCCGCCACAAGCTGTTGTACAGCGCCTAATGAGACGCTGCAGGAGGTTGGTGACGCGATACGCATGAAATAGAGGGCCCACTGGCACAGGACAGGCGATCTTTTTGTCTGAACATGTGTCCCTCTTATTGTGTTCAAATTTCACGATCATCTTTGGTGAACACTGCTGCAGGGAGCAAAAAGAGTCAGTCACCAGCTAAATTTGACTGAAATGGCACGGATTTATCTCTTCTGAAAGATTAGCGAATTGACCACAGCTTCAGGAGTCGATACTCAAATTACCCTTCCTCCTAGAGTTCACCCCAGCAGTAATAAATCCACACACGGTCAAACGGCCCTCGAACTCCCTGCTCTCACTCCACCTGGTCTATGCCGTGCCTCGCGATTGTATGTGCTGGCGATGCAGCTACGGGCCCTTGAATTATTTGCATAATGTATCGAGATTTTCATGATCTGATTCTTTACCTTGCCAAGGAGGTGAAGGTCCCCTATCAACGCCCTGAAGAAGTGTGCTGGCATCCAGACTTCTGCGCAATTGGCGGATCTTGCCCTCGGCAATCGACGTGCTGTGGAGGTCTCTTCTGCAGGGGCGTCTCCATTCACTGGGTAGGCATTGAGGCCCCATCTCATAGTACGTGGTGCGAGTTGTAAAGACTATGAGCTGGAAGGAAAAAAGAAAAGGAAAAAGAAGTTTTGTTGTAAACTTGTACTTCCGTATGTTGAATATAAAAAGAGCACATGGCCTCGTTGAAATCCCGTCTTCTTCCCATCATCACTCACACTCTTCCAATCTCACCAACTCAACTAAACTCCCAAACTATTTCGTCTTTTTCAGACCCTTAAATACCTTCAAGATGTCTTCGTGAGTCTTCGTCCTTTGAATAGAAACCAGGAGCCGACTACTAACAATGTTTGACAGCGTCACCGACAAGCAGTTCACTGTCCCCCTGCCCACCGCCACCGGACTCTCTCAGCCTGCTGGTAGGTTTTATACCTCGACCACGAACGCTTTGCGCTGCACTCAATACTTACACTGATCGCATCAATAGGCCAAATTCTCAAGGGTGCCACTGATGACAATGGCAAGCTTCGTGATGCTTCTCTGCTCCTTGGCATCAAGCTCGATCTTGAGGCTGAGGTTCACCTGACTGCCCGTGTCAAGGGTGATGTCGTTGTTGGTCTCTACTAGATACGTCGCTGCAGTCTGCACCCGACATGGTTTGTGCTTGGGTGATAGGGGGCCTTGGGAGTGATATTCGGTTTGGCCATCGATAAATAATAATAGTCAGACAGGGTTCGGAATCAGGGCTAGCAAAAAAAAATCCAAAATCCTTTTCGCACTATAACAGTCGCGTTCATTACTTTTACGGTGACAGCTGTAATAATAAAATATTCGGGTAAAGTGCCTCCATGGCACTTTCTTGGGGACGAATTGATCTGGTTAAATGCCAATGCATCGCTGGGGTCTGTAGACAAGTCGGCCTACTTCTATCCTTCTAGTACCCTCTGCGGCCAATTCTATTGGGTCAACTGAATTTCTAACCAAATTGAGGAAATATTGAATAACACAGCGACAGTGAATAGTAACGAGAGCGCGGACTATTCAACCTCTGGTTTGTGGGTGCGGGTTGTTCCGAATAATGACCTTTAGCTGAAGAAAGTGCAATTCCCCTTAATGGTGAGACTTTTTCCTTATTGGGGATCTAGCTCCTTTTCATGTGACAACAGGAATGAGGCTTCGCGCGAAGGATTGGCAAGTATGTGACAAGTCATCAGGTGTGTGTTTCTCGCCACAGTGATAAGCGTCCTGGCCAGAGCCCCTATTGTACCACACAATGACGCCCGAGACGCCCTAATCTGCATTTCTCTGTTTCAGGTCAAACAATGGGAATGTATTACCCTCATGGACTTATCATTAGGCTGTCAAGGTAGCCTGAAGCCGCGCTGACGACCTGGAAATGACTCATGTTTGCAGACAATCCAGTGCTTGTGGTGGGCTGAACTGCCCGTTCTTTTCAGCCCAGACTGTGATATCGACACGTGGCTCGGCCCCAAAGTGATTCCTCTCCGCATCTGAATATCGAATTAGGGATTAAGGCTTTCCACATTTGTGACGAGCGTCGGAATTGGATGTAGCAGCCCAATATCAGCCCAACCATATTGAGGAACTGATGCGAAAATAATAGTGTGCCGGCAGGCATGCGCTTTTTGCCTTCTCTTCTGCCAAATTTGACGAAGGTGTCTCAATCTACGAATTGATTCTACGAAAAAAACTGATGGGCATCTTCATGAACAGGGGGATCATCTGGTGGGCGTGGGGTAAGGCTTCATCGCCGTAGTAAACTGAATACAGTATATACAGACATCGGTACAAGTTTGTGGCGCTAAGAGTAACATCGCTATTTCTGCTTCCATGCAAACGTTTCAGCATGCACAAAGTGTCGGTTCCGAGCTTACTGTCTCATAGGCGAGGCGATCCGACTGGGAAACCGCAGGCTCGGGACCAGATGTGAGGAAAAGCCACCCTCAATCGAAATCTAGCTCAGTCACAGTCCGATAAGGCGGTGAGCCGATACCCGTATGTAAATCAACCGTGAACAGCTCTGGTAAATCGCGGCCGACTGTGATTCACACTCCACTTTCCGACTGGGCCGCCCGCTCTGGGTCGTGTGGAGGGTGAGCTCTGGGAATTTTCGCTGCAGATCTCCAAGTGAGGCGTTTCAATAGTCGAACTTCCTGCTTGGGCTGAATGAACAGGGGCACGTGAACCAGTAACCAAGTCCCTATCTCTGGCCGTGCCCGACATGTGTGGGAGAGAAGCAAATATGCCGTCACCTGCAGATAAGGCGATCTATGGGGAGGGCTCTGGAACATCAAGACTGATTTTGGTATAGATACACAGCCCCTAATGGAGCAGCTTACATTCTCTGGGATTTTGGTGTGCCGTCCCCCACACAAGGAGTGGGAAGGCAACCACCACACCATAAGCTGATCAGCAACCCCGGGCGTCGGCCAATGGAACGGACTGCGGCTAAACTGTTTTCTTTCAGCTCAGGCCATGGATTATGCCCATTGCAAGTGGCGGTGCTTGGCAAAGTCGTGCTGTGCGACAGAGCTGAAGATTAACCCCTGCCAGTGTAACACATACCTAAACAAACACCCAGATAACGAGGACACTGAAATAGATGACCCCCCTCTTCCTTCTTTTCGGCTTCTTTCATCCTTCTTTTCTTTTATCTTTTACTTTTTTCTCTCAAGGGTCTCCAGACAGTGGAGCTTAAGTATACAAGGTCGATTGCGACACTGAAACCTTTTTCTGATTGCCTTCCATGAAGATCCGTGAGGGCGGCACGAGCTACAATTTACAGTCATGGCTGGGCTCGTGATCAATATTTTTGTTGGAATTGGTGTTACCTGGGCCGCCGCTTTTCTGGCACTCATCGGCCGCTTCATCGCACGCCGCATGACGAAACAATCATGGTCTTATGAAGATTACTTTTGCATCTCAGCCCTCGTAAGTCGGTTCTAACAGTACCCTCTGCCTTTGACCTCATGATTCCCACTGGAAGTGGCGGAAAGCTTGACTGACTCAATGTTTGATCCAGTTTTTTGGGAGTGTCTATTCCTCCATCCTCATTGACTGTATTGCACGAACTCCGAGACATCCCTCGCCACCTAAACCAATTCACAGCAGCTAATTTCTTTGTCTAAAAAGGGACCGTCGACTGGTCGTTGGGACAATATATCCCCGATTCTACCAGTCATGCGGAAAGGGAAAAGATACTTGAATACTCGAGAAAGCTCGCCTTCTTCGCCTCATTATCGTACGCGTTTTCGATTTCCTCGTCCAAGCTGACAATTCTGAGCTTCTATTGGCGTATTTTTCAACATACCGTAATCCGCATTCCTATCATTGTCATGCTGGTGCTCGTGATGGCCTGGATTATCCTACGAACCTTCATGGTGATTTTTCGATGTTCCCCGGTACCGGCATATTGGGACAAGACAATCCCCGGCGGCTCGTGTCAGATCGCAGACGCGAGTTTCTTTTTTGGGACTGTTTTCCCACATTTTGTGATGGATATCGTTATCCTCATCTTGCCAGTAATACCGGTCTTTAATCTCCAACTGCCGGTTGGGCAGAAAGTCGCTGTTGTTGGTCTGTTCGCAATCGGTTCAATGTAAGCACCACTCTTATACCACGACCCAAAGGCAAGCAATGCATTTTAACAGTGACAAGTGTATGCATCGCGTCCATATTTGTGTTGGTTGAATCAATTCACTCCAACCCAACTTCAACTCAGGTTCCTCACGACTACGCGCTGAATTATCTATGGGGAGCTGTTGAGCTTAACATGGCTGTTGTATCAGGTAATCGCCTCCCTACCCCAAACCCTTGCCCTCAATCTTATCTTTCCAGTATGCGTTATCTAACTTCTTCCTTGTAGCATGCTTCCCACTGCTCCGACCTCTCTTCCGCTACGCGTTCGGGAACCGCATTCTTCATGGCTATGGCGAAACCAATATTACAAGCCGCCGCTTAAGTTTTGTTATACCTGGCCATGAACTGCCAGGACTGAGAGCTCCTCGATTGCCCAGGAGGGCCCTATACACCAACGAAACAAGTTCGACTCGACAACTAGCCGACGAGGAGAGTGCTGCGTCCGAAATCACAGACCTGGAACCTTCGTCTGTCAAAGGGCCGGAGCCGGTCCACACAACCATCACGAGCCAGCACAACAACCCTTCCCCCTGGAATCCAGGTGAGCTGGAACGGGGAATACTTGTCCAGAATGATGTGACAATCCAAGTGAAGCATGCGAGGCCCACTGTGTGATCTTTGCCCCCGACGATGCGTGAAGATGTAATGAGCAACGAACTTGCATGTGGGGATGATGTTTTGGACTTCTTGACAGAGCAAGCGTGTTGTGACTGATTTGCACCCGCCCGCATCCGGATTCTTCTTAATTTTTTGTTTCCTTCTGTTAACCTGTTGATCGATACCCCAAACCTGTTGACTGTTGATGCGGAAAATGATGTGCTTCACCATCCTTTCGTTATTTAGTAAAATGGCGGAATTGAAGCGCTAGGCCTGACGGCGGATTCACCTTGCGAATGCTTTGACTGTGTGAAATGATGCCCCATTTTACTAACCCATTCTTAGACTGCTGCTTTTCGATAAACTTTGAGCAAAGAAGCAATGACATGCTACCTCCCTGATATCCAGGTGCAAATCAATTGAGACTTCTTCATTTTTCAGAAGGGAGTCCGAGAAGAGTTCTTTGCAAGGCATCTCTGATTCTTGAGACACCCTTTCAATTACATCAATCATTCTTTACTGGACTTCTCATTAATATTCGTAAATGTATAAGCTATGCCAAACATTCACATAGATACTATACGAGAAATTGTGTCACAAGGTTTGTGAATAGCCCCCCTCTCTTCATGTGCTGCTCATCATTTCCATCTTCATTGCCCATAATTGACCAGAGTGCGAGAGCTGTTACGTTGAGTTTTCAATACATATGGATATAGCAATGTTCAACTTACCTTGCAGTAGGTACTAGAATAATCCGAACGCGTGAGTTTCTTGCCATCAATTTTTTCTACAACTAATGTATAGGACACCTTGGACCGTGTCTTGCTTTTCGTGATCTTCGTAGACTACCCTTGTAGAAGGAGGCGGGGGCCTCTTCGCTCTCAAAGTTTCCTCATCCCTCTTGGTTTCCCTTGTCTTCTTTCCCTCAATTTCTCAAGTTAAAACTACCGGCGGTCCGTCATCTGGAACAAAGGAACCATGCTAAGCTTTCGGTGCTTGCCAGTAAATCTTCTATGCGCAAGATCCCAATTCTGGGACTCTGTCTGCTGTCGGTGTTCTTGAACTTCTCCCTAGTATGATAGCGAGGCATATTGAAGTAAGAGCGAATGAATACGAATGAGAATTCGAATATAAAGTTTAGAACGGCAATAAAAAGCTTTCCGACATCTCAACACAATGAGTACAAAAGGTTAAAAGAAAGCTCTGCTAGCTCAAGGGTGTAGTCATGTGGCAGAAAAACTTTGTAAGCCTTCATCATACAGAAGGGAAACTCTGCATATGAGAGAGAGAGTAAATCCGCCTCAAATAGAAATTTTAAGAAACCTTTAAGCTGGACGACATTAACCTGCTATACAATTAGGTACGTACGTTTGCTAGTTCCTGCATTCACACTTTTATCGTTGAGAGGCTGGACCGAAGCAAGCGAAAGACCAGGCGAAAGATTTGAGGGAAAGGAAAAAATCATCCATATGTGCTTTTATAAGCATCATAGGCTGTCCCTGCTTGTAGGATTTGATCCCACCTTTGCCTCAGTCTGGTTGGTGGACGAGCCGTGCGCCGGTCACGTGTGAAGAGCACAGCCCCGTGTTGATTTGGAGAAAGACATCGCAAAGCGGCTCACTTCTTCATTTCGGACAGTCACTGGGCTCTGAGAAACGGAACACCACTCTACGGTCCTGTGCCAAGCAAAGCATTTGCGACGTGATACACTTGCTGCTGGCCGATATTGAGTAAGTCGCCCTGGACTGGGCTGTGGTTCCGACCTGGGACATCCAATGCTAAACTTTGGCAGAAGACTTCATACACATCGAAAATTGGATAATCAAATAATTATTTAATTCCACGAACTTTTACTACCTTTTCTGGCCTGTGTCCGTCCCACAGTTGACTTTCAATGGCGGCAGACGTCGAGGCTAACCAGGCCACTCCTCTGTTGAACGCAGATGAACGGAGGAATGAAGCACCGGTACATTTCCTATCTTTCCGACCCTCGCTGCGAGGAGTCCTCATATTTTTCCTGTGCTTGATCGGTGGAGCCTGCCTACTGCTGTCCATCATTAATGATTTCAACATGGGGTTCTTTCTGGGTGCGGCCGCTGCGTTCATTGCTCTTGCTATCCATGACAAACTGAGCGGCGCGTGAGGTTTAATGTCTACTATTTTCTGTTCATCGCGGGGTGTCACGTTTTGTACGCTCTACCTGCTTGTTTACCCGGCGATGTTGTTGGTAGGCCCCAGACTGAGTTACCCCTTTCGCAAGCAGACGTTAAGCCATTTTGCCCAATAATAAACTCAGATTCCATGAGCATTCCAATTCAGTTATCGCCAAGAGTAGTAGAGAATTCGCCATTCACGAAGCTAAACAGTATGTAAAAGGAAAATATGTCTGTTCGGCTACCCACATCAGCCAAAACAGCACCCAAGCGTATCCTAGACATCTCATCATGGCGACGTACAAGCGAACCTGTTCCACTTCAGGTCCGAAGAGCCGCCTCTCCAGCTTACTCCAAACAAATTGAACAGCGCCTTCTACCATCATCCCAAAGACCTGTAGAACGAACCTCCAGATCTGATGATGGCACCCGCACTTGATGCACTGGTCTGGAGTGAGCAACCATGGCACGATCTCATGCATGATGCCAGATAAAAAAAACACCAAAATGTTGTGCGTGTATCTGCTAATGGGGTGACGCCCATTGAAACCCAAAATAGACAAGATGGATCGCGAAAACGTAGAGAACGATCGGTAGATGAGAAGATGCCAGAATGAGGACCAAAATCGCCTCATTGTGTATGCTTCTGTGATACTGCCATACATCGGAGGCCATTCGGATGGGTCATCAACTCCAGTTGCTACACCAATGATGGCCAAGACGTCGTGATAGGAGGAAAGAGTAAGATAATCGGGGACGACTTGAATCAGGACCCAGTGAAGTCGCAAGACTGTCGCTCGCACAGCTTGGGCATGGATATGCGCATCATTGCTACGCTGACCTAAGAGAAGACAGGGCAGACTTTGGAAGAAGAAATGGTTACCACCAAGAACATAGTCATCTTTGTTTTCGGCAATCCCTCCGGGCATCCAAAAGAAGAGGTCGCGATCGAAGTAGATACAGAGGGCAAGATAGCGACAAAATAATGTGAAAAGGCGACGCAGAATGAACACTGTACGAGACTTAGGTTTCTGTAATATCTTGTCTCTAGCTTTTGAGGGTAATGGAGGTTGTCTCAAATGGCTTTCTGAAGTAATGTTCCTGCTTTTGTGGGCGAAACTTGTTGCTAGTGAGTCTCCTCCCTTTACTTTGGCCTCTCTTAGCGGGACTTCCCACTTCGTCCCGAAACAGAGAGGATTCAGTAGAATTTTGTAGGAGAAGACATAATTTGAGGACCCTGGCATATCTTTTGGTACTTGTTGGTCGTTAATAACTGTGCCATGCGCTCCCCCAGGCCTCATGGATCTGGTGATTAACCATCTCCTCCGCTCGTCTTCGAGCTCAGCGCTAGAGACAAAGCCAAGAATGAAGAGGGAGTGGGAGAAATAGATGATGACAAATCTGGCAAAGATGGAATTGACGACGTCATTATTGGAGAAGTCGCGAGCGTTGAGGGCCGCAATGATAGTGAAGATGGCTGCTAGTGGGATTGTTACATGGCCTCGGGCATTTGGCTTGGAGATAGAAGAGAAGGTGGACCACAGCAAGAGACCTGTAGCAGCCACAGGTACAAGTGAGCCTGGAGCGTTCCATCTCTCCGGGCGGAGCATCAGGGCAACGGTCAGTGGGCGAATGAGGGTTCTTTCGGTCGAGGCGGCAAAAACTGGTCACGGAAAGGTCGGTCAAGAGGGTGTGATGCAGCTGTACTGAGAAAGAGAAAGAGATATGATATTCATCACTGTAGCTGACATGGCCAAGATAATTCGTCATCATTATGCGCATCTTTTCACCTCACGGGGGATGCCTTGCGAACAGGCCGGGCCCGACTTCATGCATAAACGCGCGGTAGGCCAACAGCGGCGCCTCGACTGCAGCAGAGGAGAAGAGAGACTGGCTGACCTTCGAGCCCCAGAATGGCTCCACTGGGGCCAGCACATCACGGCAAAGAATAGAATCAAAGCGTCCTGGACACAATGCAGGCTATTTGTTCGATGGTTCCACCGTATGCTGGTTCAGGCAAGAGAGGAATGGATCGAGGCGGACGGGCTGAGTGCCGGCGTGTGTAGTACAAAGCAGGGATCAATATCTGGCCCCCTCTCTTCGTATTTTTCAACCTGAAACACCAAACATGCGTGGCACATGCAGACCGTAACTTAAAGCAGGGAATACTAGGCGGCCTCGGGCCTGTAGGCTCAACCAACTGAATAATGCCTAAGGGTTCTCTGGCTGGGCCTATTGGGTCTTCGTGGCACTTGCTGGTCGTCATACTCGAGTTAATAATTCCTCCATTCAAAAGTTAATAGCGTAATATTCTTGCTGTCGGTCTAGCTATAAAGACATCTCATTCCCACCAAATCATCGTCTTCTATCAATCAACTAGCCTCTCAATTAATCAACATCATTCTCGGATAACAACAACCACCCTCTTCGTTAATTACCATTCACCCATAATATTTGAACCCCATTCTAAAAATGAAGGTAGGAAAGCCCCTCGACCTACCCAATGATTCATTGGACCCCTCTCTACACTCACTCATAAGACTTCTAACCAGCATTCTTTTCTCCAGGTTTCATCTGCCATTCTCTCTGTCTTGGCCACTGCTGGCCTTGTCTCCGCCACGCTTGGAGACACCAACAAGGTCCTCCCTCAGATTCCCGGCATGTGGAGGAACGCTCCCGGAAAGAATACAACACAATCTGAAGATGAGACCCAGACTGAGCAATCTACTCGCGCCATAGGAGGAATCACTTCGCTCCCCCGCCGGTGGATTGAATCCCTTCACGCCCGCGAGGCCGAGGTCGTCGTTGAGGTCGTTACCGAGGCTGAATAGGGCCCAACGAGTGCTGGTTTATTCTAAGGGTCATTCTCACTGTGGATCTGCGCGTGAAATTGGATATGGTATGATCTATGATTTATTTATTTGGATTTGGATTTTTATGAATCGACGTGATATTACGACATAATCAGCATTTGATTAGATAGACGACTCTCCTTACAGCAAACTGGTCATGGACGAGCGGATTAATCCCGACGTTTGTGCTGGTACTGGGCCACCAACAATAATTGATACTGCGTATCTTGACTCTGAGCATTGAAGTAAATCTGCAATCCTCCTCGTATTGTTTGTGGCACCATGCACCTCAACACTAAGTTGGGAGGATGACCATGTGGGGTCAGGGTCGATATCGCGATGTAACCTCTTGGCGTCAAGGCCTTCTAGCACAACAATACGTACCATGAAGAGGCTTCTATTCTTGGGAGTGCGGGGAGCAGCCTTTTTACTACTTCCCGAGGTCTTCGCTAAGAACCACTGAGAGAGAAAATGAAGAGTAGAGGGGAGGAGGGGAGGGGGATAGGCAAGCAAGATCCCACAACTTGGATCACGGACAAATCACACGGATGCAATCAGGCTTTGCGGTGAGTCTTGCTAGACCTCTTTCGCTGACGAACCGCTCATGTTGACGGAATGGTAGGCCGAGCCACGCCCGGGATATCCTTGATAAAGCGAAGTCCACCAAGGACTCATAACAACGTGCTGACTTGCGTTGGCTCGAGTGAGTTGCCTTGCGTGAATAGGAATGGTCCGAATAGAGTGAATGGTCTCTGTCCCGAGTTCTGTCCCTGGGTTAAATGATATCTCTCCCTAATGCCCATCATAGATGTAGCCCTCTGATTGTACACCTGGTAGGTAGGGAGCGTCAGAAGCGGATGGCAAGCCCCGGGCACACCCTAAGGTTCATCACGAGGTGAGCGCCATCTTGCAGTACCCCACCAATGCGACATAATCTTCCGAGGCATCTCAACTGCGGTTTCGATCATTGACTATGGGCAAGACGAAGTACTGGCGAAATGACCACAACAAGGAGAAATAGTATTAAATTACTTAAAGAATCGTTGAAGTAAATGGATGACTACAAATCCCTTCATCATATCTCAGAATTCTCACTGAACCAACCAACTGAGTGAAAGTGTTGGTGCGTATCCGCCCCTAAAATTGACCTGGCCGTGCGGTACAATCTATCAAGCACGCCCTTACCAGTCCTCCAATCATGGCAGAAATACCTGGGTGCCTGGGCCATCTAACGCCCTCAGAAAAGCTCAAGCTGCAGCAAGCTTGGGCCCATCTAATCCGCCTCGGCGCTTCCAGCGCTTCCAAGTCGCTCCTTGAGGGCAATACGCCAGGTACCCCTGAAGATTCCAAGGAGTTTATGCGTCACCTCAACCCAACCACTCTTGGCGACTTCAGCAAGTTCCTGTGGCGGTGCATTTGCATTGAACATCCGGACGCCCTGGTCCTTCGATTCCTCCGTGCACGCAAATGGGACGTCGAGAAAGGTGTGGCTATGCTCGTGTCCGCTGTGATTTGGCGCCAGGAGGCACGCATTGAAGAGGACATTGTCCAACAAGGGGAGGCTGTTGGCTTGAAGGAGTCGCCATCCGCCGAGGAAAAGGGTTTCATTGACCAGTACCGGACTGGGAAGAGTTTCGTCAGAGGTGTTGACCGGGAAGGACGCCCGGTCTTCACCGTTAAAGTCCGATTGCATGATCCACACAAGCAACCGAGCAAGTCTTTGGAAATGTACATTCTCCACACCTTTGAGAGCATGCGCATGTTAGTCCAGCCTTCCAGTGACAAGGCTTGCATCATCTACGATATGACCGGCTTTGGATTGCGGAACGTGGACTTGCATGTAGTCAAATTCCTTACCACCGTTTTTGAAGCGAGGTATCCCGAAACTTTGGGGGTCGTTTTGATCCATAATGCGCCATTTGTCTTTTGGGGTAAGTTGAAATGATCAAAGCCCCATGGAACTTCTGCAAGCTTGGTCGGCTTACCAATTCTGTGGTTACCTAGGGGTTTGGAGAGCTATGAAAGGCTGGATGGACCCGGTTGTCGCAAGCAAGATTCATTTTACGCGCACCAAGGCTGACCTGGAGCGTTTTATCACTGCTGAAAACCTCTCTAGCGATTTGGGAGGAGAGGATGAATGGGAATATAAGTATATCGATCCTATTCCTGGGGAGAATGATCGCATAGGTCAGGTTGAGGAGAGAGTTAGAATACAGGGGGAGAGAGATCGGCTGGCATCTGACTTTGAACGGCTCACTTTCGAATGGATTACGTGCGATCCCTTATCTGACAGTGCCAAAGAAAAAGAAGCCCTGCGTGATCGTGTTGCTGGTAAATTGCGGGAAAATTATTGGCGGCTCGACCCCTATCTCCGCGCAAGGAATTACTATCACAGGGTCGGAGTCGTTGACGAGGACGGTCGTGTTGATTTTCAAGCCGCTTTGTAGATGCTTTATCGCGCCTCTTGGTGTTTCAAAGAAGGATTTATGATAATGCTGCGTTGATGAACTTGTGTAACCATCTCCTTCTACCCTTGATAGCTCCTTGATACTTATCGTATAACCTAGATGTGGTCGAGACAGCTATTTTAATTAAGCCACCGTGATATGCGAGGAACGATCAACATATTGATTGTGAATTTATAGCTGTGTCAGGTGGCCAAGTCGCATGTGGCCCGAAAAAATGTTTCCTTCTAGCTGTTTGGGTATCTCATTTCCCCCTTTGATACTCACATCCGAGGGGTACTGAAAGGCAAGGTGCTTGACTATGCCATGAACTAACCTGGTATTGGCAAGTGAATGATGTGTTTATTCTAAAAGGAGAGAAGAAAAATGAAGTCTAGATACAAATGTGCTTTTCCAATACCTTTACAGTGTCTATCCACTCACATTATGCTGTCTCGTCCTTCATCCTAACACTCGGGTCGCCTCCGTTCTCCGTTGTAGAACCTCCGTCGCCGTTCAATACTCCGTCATCGGGCCTCACAGCCTCCTCGTCGCGCTGGACCATTTCTTTCTTCACCTTTGTAGGCGCGAACCTGCTGCGGGCTCGGATCGCTTTTCCGTACTTGTAGAAGGTAAACGGGATGATAGCTAGAAGAGTAGCAACTCCACCGATGAGACTGCCGCCGCCTCCAACACCGAGGGCATCAAACATCTGTTTGGTGAAGAGAGGTGCCGCTGCTCCGCAGGCCGACCTCATGATGGTATTTGCAGCCACAGCTGATGCGGCATACATAAGATATGTATCAACAAGATAATTGAGATAAGCAACGAATATAAGTAGCAATGAGCCAGCAAGAACTGAGCCGGCAATTGTAGGGACGATCCAGTGGATTGAACTGGAGAATCACAGATGTCAGTTGGGCGAATAGGCAATAGGTAGCGGACAGGTTAACTCACTCGAAATTTGCTGTCCAAGCAAACCAGAACATAGTAATGGGAAAAGCAACGCCTCCAATCATTGCTAGTCCCAGTCGCTCTTCAGGTTCCATGTCTTCCATTTTAATCTCACCACGATCGATTCTCTTTTGGCGGTGGCGTGTATCATAAAGAACTATGAGACCACCGAGGGCGGCACCCACAACCGTGCCGGTCAGAGGGAGTTCTCCCACTCCAGAGTTCCAACCTCTCTTTTCTTGGAAGACAATGGGGTAGATAGTGAACAACATGTACAATAGGGTGTATACGACTGCCATGTAAATAGCACAGAGGAACGATATCGGATCGAATAGGATAATCCAGGGTCGGGTGAGGGCAACTTTGTACACACTCGCGAGTGTCCGTTGGTCATCCTCGAGCGGAGCTCTCACGTTCTCGTAGCCAGGAATTTTTTCAGCCCTGATCCTCTGAGCCTTTTTAGCCAGGATAACAGGCGCATACGTCTCGGGGATAGTAAGCATGAGCAAGCCGCTCGCAGCGCCGAGCCAAAGAAGGACATAAAAACTCCATCGCCAATCCTTTGTCAGCTGGAGAAATCCTGCCACAACAGGGCCGAGGGCAGGGCCGACATAGACCAAGGTGGAGAAGCCTGTGCAAAGGATCTCACGTCAGCGGATTGATACATCATTTTGCAGAAAGTCTACACGTACCAGCCATTGCGTTTCCCCTTTCCAAAGGGTTCCACACATCTGCCAGGACACCTGGGGCATTGGACAATGGTGCTGATACAAATGTGCCAGTGAGAAATCGCCCAACGAGAAGGGCACCGAAGTTTGGCGCAAAAGCACAGAGGAAGTTGAAAATCAGGTACAGAGAGAATGTAATGTAGAAAATCCACCGGCGGCCGTAGAATTCACTAAGGGGGGCAAAAACCAGGGGCCCGGCGCAGTAACCCAGCAAGAACAAGGTGATTGTGAGACCAGCGGCTTCGGCAGAGACGTTGAAGTGTTCGGAGATGGATTGAATACAACCGCTAGGGGATGAGGATGCCATCGTTGCGTTCATCACGAGTATGACAGAGGCTACCGTGACCGCAGTGCGACGACCTGTGCTCCAGTTCTTGGGGTTTTCGATGTCGCCCGGGGCAAATTCGATATGGCCCGATGCGTTCAGCTGCGGAGGGCTCGTGAGATCGAGATCTTTCGTGCGATAGGGTTTGTTCACAGCCCTTGACAGGACTCGTTCAATAGCGGCCGCCATGTTGACATAGAGGCGGCAATGAGTATACGGAATTCGACACGGGGGATATCAGGAGTCGACAGAGTCGGTGGTTCAGCGAGGAGGTCGCAAGGTTAATAACTTGAATGTCCTCTGTTCGGAGAGGGATGTGCCTTGAGCAACTCGTCATAGAATAAATACCATTGTTTTTTTTATGCAGGGATACTCCAACATTTATCAATCAGCCAGTAACCCCGAGGACAAGGGAGTAGATTATACCCGTGCAATCCGCCACACACAAAAACCACACTCGGACTTAACTGGATATTAGGTAAACTCAATTTATCTGCTTCCTAATCATCGGACCAAGATTATGGACTGGATGGTCCTAACGGTGGGTAGGAGCAAGCTGATTGGTACCAAGCAACGAATCTTATTCGGAGAAGGCAAGCTAGGTGAAGATCTCTAGTGACGTCAACCAACCACACGCCGACGTTATTGAACGATATTGATTATGGATGAGGCCATGCCTTGCTGGGCTCGGTTCGGACGGCACATCCGCGTGTTCTGTAGCGCCTGTATCTCACTTAGTGCTGGGCGGGAGACCGGCACGTTGGACCTCGAAGGCTCCCATCAGCACCGGCGAGTTGACTCACTTGAGTGAGGCTTATCGGAAAGGGCGCCGAAGTTAAGGTTGACACACACCGTTCCACGCGATTCTCGGCGCTCGCGTCTTGATCCATGTCCGCATATTGGCTCTCGCGGGCTCGCGAGCTCATGAGGACCCTTGATCTCGGAAGCAAATCCACATCTTGATGAGGACTCCACCAGCTGCGTCCACTGATTTACAGCTAGTGCTCATCAAATTTGTAATCCCCGAGGCCAACCCCGCTTTGACTCTTTCCAGTCTTCACCGAAGGCAGCAGGAAGCTCAACAGTGCGATAACCCCGAGCCGTCTCGACCCTGAAACGTTTTCTTCTACAAGAAACTATCAGCCTCGGAAATTTACCATGTGATATCTCTCTACTTCTAATCAGCGTCTTGCAAACATTCCAAGGGTTCTCCTCGGCGAGATTACCCATGCGTTATTCCCGTCGCGGCGTAAGCAACTTGTATAATCCCGCGGCGTTTCTCACACTCGGATCCTGTCTTCAGACCCCGAGGGATCGCGTTAAATTTTCAGGCGTAAAAAGTAATGTCTGATTGTGTTTTTCGTAGTTGAAAGGCTTAGGTCCAAGGGCAATTCATAGCGCTATATTTAGATTGGACGTATTCGCTTGTTTCTATACGCCCTTTTGCAACCGCTATGCCTACAATGCCTGGCATTTGGAGCCGGAAATAGCCAAGCTGAGATCTCGAATGGATCCAGTTACCCCACGATCCGATGATGCCCTGAGAGTTATCAACAACTGAAGTTCAATGGAGGATCATGTCGTGTCTTAAGAGATTCTAAGATCTCATTAGAAGCACAATTTGTTCAAATGCCATGACGACTTACCATCGTACTTCAGCATGTGTCTCCTACAGAGTGCTCAAACCCTGGCTTGGGGCGGGGCATATCCACACCTCGTAGGGCCAAATACGACATTATTGCCGCGGCTATAAATCGAGGTTATCGCAAATAGAAATGCAATCCATTCAACATCTTTTCTTCTAGATAGGTGGGGTCGGAGTTGTTCTTGGCTGGCGCTGATTCAATTTCCGCAATTTGTTGGTGCCGTAGGATAACGCACAACTGTCCTGCAAGACCGAGACGAGAGCCCAACATGATCCTTCGTACGACAGATGAAGTCCCTCAAACCAGGGAATTAAAGGCAATAAACAATGGGGAAGAGAAATCAACAGATAAAATTCCCCCACCTACGCATCTGGAGGATCTCTCACCGACTGTCGTTCCGAAAAATGAACGACGAGGCATTTTGGCCTGGCTCGCGCTGCTGGAAGAGGTCGACATACCCACCAAAATGCCCAGGAAAAGGAAATGGACAATTACTGTTATCATATCTCTTATTGGGGCCGTAAGCCCTTTCGGCAGCGCCATAACACTACGTAAGTCATTGGCAAGGGGAGCTGCAGAGTGGAGTTTTGCTATGGGTTCATCACATGCTCACCATATTTCAGCTGCACTTACTCCGATAGCAGAAGCATATGAAACCACGGCGTTCATGTCAAGTATGTCAGTTGGAATTTATATGCTTGCCATGGCCCTGTTTCCTCTGTGGTGGTCTTCCGCGTCTGAGTTGGTCGGAAGGAGAACAGTCTATGTTATCTCCAACATAGGGATGGCCTTTTTTAGTGCTATGTCCGCCATTTCGCCTACCATCGGCATTTTCCTCGCGATGAGATTCTTTACAGGAGGTGCATCATCGGCGGCAATGTCGGTCGGTGCAGGGACCATCGCAGATATATGGGTACCAGAAGAGAGAGGCACAGCGATGGGGTACTTTTTCCTCGGACCTCTTTGCGGACCGTTGCTGGCCCCGATTCTAGGCGGTGCCCTAAGCGACAAGTTTGGTTGGGCTAGTACGCAATGGTTTCTTACTATCTATGGGGGTGAGTGTATCAAGTTTTCCAGATGTTCAACTAAGGCTTGAGTATCTTCATAGGACCTTACTGACCATTTCAGTTGCCATGACAGTGCTTGTGTTGCTTGGGCTTCCAGAAACTTCTCCCAAAAGGGCAACAGTGGAGGTAAGTGAGTCCGAAATGGGAGGTATTGAAAACCAACCACATCGCGGGCTGCTCCAGTTAGTTGTGTCAGGGGCGATTTACGCTGGTCATAAGTTCAAGGAGCTTTTCATTGATCCCTTCAAACTACTGGCATACCTACAATTCCCTGCCATTGCCCTTTCAGTACTTATCAACTCTGTTACTTTTGGAGCCTTATATGTTGTCAATATTAGTCTCGAGCATATCTTTAGCAACGCGCCGTATTCGTTTCCCAGCTGGATGGTTGGGTTCGTTTACACCCCTGCTTCCATCGGCTACATTGTCGCTAGTCTTTTTGGAGGGAGATGGATGGATAAGATTATGCGAAGGCGAGCCGAGAAAAATGACAGATATGATGGAAATGGAAAACTCATCTACCTTCCCGAAGACCGCATGCGAGAAAATGCCTGGTGTGGAGTTCTGGGTTATCCAGCAGCCGCGATATGGTATGGCTGGGCAGCCCATTACAGGCTATTCTGGCCAGCAGTTGTGAGTTCAAATGGCCGTTGGGTTTCAATCCCTTACTGACATTGTTGATTGAGCTTGTACCTCCCTTCTTTCTCGGGGTTACCAGTTTCCTACTGCTGTCAGTAACCACTACAATGCTCACGGAGTTTATGCCAGGAAGATCAGCATCTGGGGTGGCTATTAACAACCTGTGCCGGAACATGCTGTCATTTGCTGGCTCATTAGTAGCCATTCCTTGGATAAATGCTATCGGGGTAGGCTGGACAATGACTATTGTAGCAGCATTGATGCTCTCGTCTGGCCTTGGGATATGGTTGATTGCTCGATATGGAGCAAAATGGAGAATCGAGATGGACAAAAAGTTAAGTAGATAGGCCTCGGCTGGTCAAAACAATAGATTAGGTATCCTGCCGCTTTCCAGGACATTAGTGTTAGCAAATTGCTCATTCTACATCAAGCTCACGACATAGAATATAAGTCTAGAGGCTAGTAGAAAATTCTGTTCACTTCAATATTGATTTAATTTAGATAAAAGCACAATATTTGGTAGAAATAACACATAAACGTCAGAAGCGAAACAAAATAATAACAATTCTAACTGGCCGGTGAGCTTCTTGGTCATCTCTTATCGAGTTATACAGCTGCCAATCCTCCGAACGATGGCACTCCGAACCTGCGTGGAATAATACTATTGGCTGTATTTGGACGTCAGTGAGAATCTCTCTCTCTATTTGTCATCGGTTCATGGTCTTCTCCTCTTTCGACTACAAGCTTTGGCACAGCCACGATGGATGGCGCCAAGCGTCAATATTGGTGAACTGAAAGTCTGACATGTAGTCCAATATAATTTAAGTCCCCTCCTCGAAATAAGCCCTCTTTCTTCTTCCCAACTCCTCATCCTTTCATTTTGGAAAATGCCGCACGATGCAGAGTGCCAAGTTAGACTTAAATTCATACTCCCTTTATATTATCACTCATTTTCTATTGACCTTCGGTCTTCGTCTTCTTGTTTGGGATCCTACCTAGTCATCGAGTTTGGTCCCCCTGAATACTAATCAGAGCACGTGGGACTTCTTCAGCGTTTTTTGACAGACCTGATTTCTTCTTCTAATAAATCTTTCAATTATAGAACTGTTACTCATGGCACCAGACTCTCTTTCCATTTACTGTATTTCACCTGAGATGCTTGCTTCAAGGGTGCCATTATGCTCGGGACACAATAGCATAGCACATGATTGTGCAACTGTGCGACACTTCGAGGGTTGTGATGCCAATCACCCCTGTTGATACCCATCGCCGATTTAGGGCAAAGCTATGATCATTGGCCTAGGCACTCAGATGACGGAGTCTGGCAAATTCTTTCCTCGCGGGGCAATGATTGGAAGGGGGCTGTCTCACTTTGGTCGCCTAACTGTCGCCTCGTCTTCCCTTGGTCGCCTTAAAGCGGAGAAATCCTGCCTACAACTTTCGTTCGCGAATCATAAAATGTTGCCTTGAGGTCAATTTCCCTCATTCAACGTAAAATTTCATTGGCAATTTACGCAAAAGACTACCTACACGAAGCCTAGCAGGATCACCAAGCCTATAAGTTCGAAGAGAGGACTTTGGTACCCATTCTCATTATGGTAAGGCACGCAATGTGACCCTAAACGTTGCGTACATCTGGGGCAGGTCCTAATGGCGGTCTCCGCTTACCAGGCACTCGACGGCATAGACGAGAAGCTGGTCACTGACTTGAAGGAAATCTTCGACCTTTTCGTAAGTGCTCCTGCGCTGGACTCGGGCTTGATTTGTTCGCTAATCTGGTTATGTCTTCCGATATGCAGGACCAAGATAAAGACGGTATGTGACATTCTATACTTCAACTCGAATGACGAGGTTCCCGACACCAAATTATCCAGGACAAATCACCGCCGCGGAACTTGGCGACGTTATGAGGGCTCTCGGCCAAAACCCTACCGAGCCTGAGCTGCAAACCATTATCGACGAAGCCGATTTGGACAACAATGGCGCGCTAGAATTCTCCGGTATGATAGCCCGAGGCTAGAGCTCGATCGGGGACTGTTAAATTCCCAAATGCTGATGGTGCAAGATAGATTTCGTCCGTTTAATGTCCGACAAGGTCAAGCCAATCAGTCTCGACGAGGAGCTTTGGCAGGTTTTCGTGGTATGATAATGCCATTTGTCCTGAAAGTTCTTATGTTCTTGACTCTTCTTCTAAGCAAGGCTAGATGTTGGATCGAAATGGCGATGGACGAGTCTCGAAAGAAGAATTGCGCGAAGCCATGGCAGTACTTGCCAATGGAGTTAGTGAGGCAGATTTGAATGAGATGCTTCAGGCCGCGGATGAAGATGATGATGGCCATATCAGCTGTGAGTATCCTTTCGGCTCTCAACACCATTCTATACTAAAAATAATTTGTAGATGAGGAGTTCGTCAAGGTCATGAAGACAAATTAGTCTTGCAGCTTAACCCCCTCCACACCAAACTACCATATCCTTGCAGGTTGATTAATCTCTCCTTATTCATATGATACTCAAATAATAGTAAATTAGTATTAATTTGTAATTCTACACAAGACCAAAGATCATCTCATGCTTTCTCCCCACCGCGATAAACTGTCAGGAACTCCCATCCACAAACATCTGCCAGAAGGCCAAATTTCCCTCCAATCCAAAATTTATGTTGCTGTCGGCCATCTGTTCCCCAGATCCAACCGGGTTGATTGCGTTCCCGCTTAGGTATAAAGAACACCATATTTTAAGCATTCCCAGCCTATCCGCGTACTGAGCCAGAATATCTTGGCTTTGGTCGATGATTCTTCGCCTCGGTCCCATGACCAAGCTGCCGGCTCTGAAAAAATCACTCAGCCGCTGTATTAGATCTTCAATATTGACTTCCTTTTCCGCCACTCTCGCGTCCCAATCACGATCACCTGTAATTCGAAGAAGCTTGATCATCTTGATGAGGCCCATAGTTAGATGTGCAGTGTATGGAAAAGTAAGGCAGGAGATCACGTCGTGCGGTGTTTCCATGAAACTAAAACACAGTGTTATAGCGTTCTGGAAACAATTCCAAATTCCTTCGGTCCTTGATAGTGATGCATATGGCCAATTCTGAGGTTCTGAGTGTATTGCAGGTTCATATAATCGAACCAAGATGGCCTGTTTGTGGCTTCGTATAAGATCTTGCAACATGGGTAATAAGATTAGGACAAGGCATCTCGATGATTCGATCAATGGCTGTACTTACGATTAGATGCAAGCTCTGGTGGTAGCTGAGATGTAAAATCATCCAATTCTTTGCGAATTAATGAAACAGTCATTGAGTGGAAACTTTGCTCATAGACTCCATCTCCAGCAGCATTTGTATATGCAGTGATTAACTTAGAAGCTATTATTTGAATCTTAACGAGTTGAACTAGAAGCGTGTCTGTGGGATACTCTCGATCGTGAAGTAGGACTTGGCAAAATCTTTCAAAGGTCTCATTGTATCTCATGCAAGACGATTTACTCAAGAGAAGTGAAGCCCTGGTGTAGACAACAACGTGGTTAGAATTGCTCTGAGATCCAGTATTTCATATACGCACGAGGTTGCAATATAAAATATTCCAAGCGCCGTCCTCCTGCCGACGTTGAGAGGTCCTTCTTGCACTGGAACTTCAAAACCTAGCATCTCCACGTCCTCGACGATTGAGTTTATCAGCCTTTTGGGTAACTGTGTGCATCTGTCTAGCTTCATTTCGCTGATGAGGCCTACCGCAAGCTGCATCAGACTTGTGTGAAGGCCATCAATGAAGTGTCGGAAATCTCTCCTGGACGTATCTATCAACATTTGGCTGGTTCCCATTTATTCCGTGCAGAGCACTCACCAGGCAAGAAAAATCATGATTGCTTGTATCAGCTCAATATTCTTCCTGTTCAGGACCACGATCTGTTGGGCAACATGTTGTCGAAACCATTCATCGAAATTTAACCTTGATTGCGAGTCAGAAGGACGACAAACAAACAACAGCGTCTTCAACAGCAGCGGCTTCTCTCGCGATAACTGAAATACGTCGGTCGTCTCCAGCGGGACAAAGGGAAATTGGGGAAGCATCATCATCATATACTCTTGGAGCACCTGATCGGCCTCGTCAAATGACATCTCGTACCCAGATATTATTTCAAACTTATGTGTCTCTCTAGAGTTGAGTTGTTGTGTGAAGGACGATGGCAACGTTGGCTGAGTCACCTGGACCCGATCGTTCTCCAACCTTGGGATATTCCAGTTGGTGACTGGTGGTCTAGGAGCGGCGGTCTGGGGTTGAGAACCGGAGGGGCCGGAGGTTTTATTCACATGTTGCAACAAATCCTCATGTTCGCCAAGTAGTGACATAATGCCCTCCAACTTCTGCTCGATAGCTTTCACCCGCCTTTGATAAGATTAGCAGCAGATCATCTGGGAATATTTCTTCTGTTGCCGAGAAGCCACTCACGTCGATTTCCCTCGCGTCTTTCTTGTTCCAGGTGGAGGAGCGATGCATGGAAGATGCCCCTTGAAACATCTATCGCGATTATAAATTATTGTTTTCATCATAAAACAGGTACTCATGGAAAAACAGCGGCATTACCTTTCGCAGACTTTCATCCCGTCCTTCTCCCGATCTGTCCAGACGCATTTTGCTTTAGAATGAGCACAGCGCTCGCACGCTCGTGGCCGTACTGGAATCTCCGACTGATTGCCGATGTTGCCGTCCATTTCGGGTCTGTTTTCTTGGCGAAACTTCTTTCCTTTCGTAGGGCATCAAAGAAAGCCCGAGCCCGTGAAATGTTGGATGAGGGATGTTTATGAGGCTCATCAGAATCGGACGGAGGCAAATTAATCCCGGAAAGTGGACACAGGCAATCTCATTACACCTCCGAACCAATGAAAAGCCAGTCGAAGTGGATTCCTGTTTATGCCGGGTGTTATAAAGATATCCGTCCGGCCGTTGAGAGCCATCAGAGGTATGAGAACATACGTAACCTGTCCGCAGGCGGAATCAATTTGGCCCCGTATGCATGGATTTGAATTAACAATGTGGCTTTCCAATGACTGCATGTTTCAAGGGCAGATAAATAAAGATGTGGTCGCCGCACTCGATAATCCAGCAACATTTCCTACCTCTATCCATTATTGTCATCCACTCTCCTTGCATTGAACTCGTTTAACTATGACAAAGTCTTTGGAATCAGGTGCGTCTCAACGCGAGATCAACGGGGAAATACCCCGGAATGATTCTTTACGGGAGACGGCACAGTACGAGATGACAACGTCCACCCCAATCCCGAATGCCGAAGTAGATCCTGAGAAAGCGACCGAATACTTGAGTGGCCTACCATTGTTATTCGTGGCTATTGGACTCGCATTATGCGCTTTTTGTGTTGGTTTGGTGAGTTTCTACATTCCCCGAAGACTTCTTGGCTGCCTATCTAACTCGTCGATCTGTATTTAGGACCGATCGATAGTTGCGACCGCAGTCCCCAAGATTACAGCCGAATTCAATTCTTTGAATGATGTAGCCTGGTATGGCTCGTCTTTCCTCCTAACTACCTGCTGCTTTCAGCTGTTATTTGGGAAACTGTACGCGGAGCTCAACATAACATGGGTGTTTCTTGTCGCGCTCGGCATCTTTGAAGTAGGCTCGGTTGTTTGTGCCGCAGCACCGAACTCGGTAGCCCTCGTCATCGGCAGAGCTGTTGCTGGAATTGGCGCTGCTGGGCTCATGTCGGGCTTCTTCGTGATAGTCGCGAAGAGCCTTCCTCTGGAGAAAAGACCCGTTTTCACTGGAGCAATCGGGGCCTGTAGTGGTATCTCCCAAATGATCGCTCCCACTCTTGGAGGTGAGTTCTTATTACTTGTTTTGTACTTTTCATTACAATCACCGATGCTCAGTGTCTTCTCTATAGGCGTGTTCACCGACCGGCTTACTTGGCGATGGTGTTTTTGGATCAACCTCCCCCTTGGGGCAGCGACCGCGCTTACCGTTTTCTTCTTCCTGAAGCTTCCTGACAGTCAGAGGAATGATCACACGATGAATTCTATTGAAAATATCAAGGAGTTTCTCAATAAATTAGACCTCGTTGGCAGCCTATGTCTAATGCCATTCTTGGTTTGCCTCCTCCTTGCCCTCCAGTGGGGTGGAACGACTTACGCTTGGAGCAACTGGAGAGTCATTCTTTGCTTGTGCCTGTTTGGTGTTCTCTTTATCGCGTGGATTTACATCCAGTACTCCAAAGGCGACAACGCCACTTTGCCCGCTCGCATAATTCGCCAGCGATCGGTGGGCTGCGGGCTGCTCTTCTCGTTATGTACTTGCAGCTCCATGTTTGTTGTTTCATACTACGGGCCAATCTGGTTCCAGGTCGTGAAAGACACAACGGCCGAAAAGTCTGGCATCAACTTTCTTGCAGCGCTCGGTCCATTAATTGTTGCATCCTTTGCAGCTGGTGCTTTGGTAAGTATCATTCCAAGAAGCCAACAACTTCCTACCAAGCCTAGGAAAGTGAGAAATGAATATGTGCGGTTAACAACATTTGCAGACATCTCATATTGGGTATTACGTCCCGCAAATGATTGTCTGTGCAGTGATCACTACAGTCGCATCTGGCCTCCTGTATATGTATGAACTTGATACTACAACAGCATTTTGGTATGTCAAGAAATATATTATATCCCTGTTTGTCAAGTTCAGACTAATCTGATTCAACAATAGGGCCGGTTCTCTGGCACTGTTTGGGCTCGGCATTGGCTCAGGTCTTCAGATGCCTCTGGTGGCTGTACAAACCGTACTCAAAGGAGGTGACATCTCTATGGGCACCTCAGCTATGGTTCTTTCCCAGTCTATGGGTGGCTCCATCTTCCTTGCTGTGGGGCAGAATGTTTTCCAGGCCAAGCTGGTCGAAGAATTGGCATCCAGGGTCCCGGACCTGGATCCTCAGATCGTGATTGAACACGGAGCGACTGGTCTACGAACAGCTATAACAGAACAGTTTGGCAGCAAGACAGGGCAGGGTGTTTTAGAGGCATATAACCTTGGACTACGACAGTGTTTCCTTGTCTCAATCATCATTTCCGGGCTGGCACTTTTTGCTGCTCTCGGTATGGAATGGATTAGCGTCAAGACTAACCACGGCCAAGAGAGCGTGAAAGATGTCTAAAGTTCTCTAATACCTAGCCTGTCACTTATGGCCGAATACGTGGAGGAGAAGAGAACAAAACAGATGGCAAAACAATATAGATTCGATAATGTAATATAGAGGCAAAAGGATGGTTTCAAGGAGTGTGGTAAAGTGTGTTATAGGGTAGCCACAAGAAATGATGTGTTGTTACCCCTGTCAGGGGCATATGAGACTGATGCAAACGGGATTGCCGATGGGCAGCCAAGACATGCAGCGGTTTTGTTCACCTGATTAGCAGTAGTAGAAGGGAGCCGTCTTTTCACTTTCGTTCCATCTTTCCTTTTCGATCGCGGTGATAATGGTGACAAATCCTGACAAAGAATAACACCCACAACAACCCTAACATGCTCAAATGAGGAGAGACCTGGTCGGGCGGAGAAATCACGCTGTGTTAAGCTTGATTTGCGGCGCTTGTCGTGGAGCCTCATGCAACCAATTTGTCTCCTCGCCCCTCCTTTGTCGTCCCTCAACACACCAACCAGGACGCAACACGCCTTGCTGCTCTAGTTTAGCACCAAAGCGATACAAAGTATGTGGGTAGGCAGAATATTGAATGTGGGAGCCGGAAGCGGGGAAGGAGGAAGAGGTGGGAGGGAGCCAGCAGCCTTTGCTCAGCCGAGACACGAGTGCACAATTCAACACTCATCTCCTCACCTGAGCTTGGTGACATCGTGACTCCCTTGAGTGGACTAACACTCATCCATTCGCCCGTTCTTACCCACCTGTTGAATGACCTACATAGTAACAATTGTGGTTGGCCGGCCCTCGGAAGTCCGATGTGCGAAGGTCTCAATTGTGTGCTTTGGCCAGCTGCAATCTCTATCACTCACCCGACCCCTCTAGCCGATCGGCGAGGGCTAAAGTGCTCCACGGATACACTAGAGTGGTAGCCGAAGGAGCATTGTGAAGAGAATTGCTGATTGATAACTCTAGCTCGAGATCAATCATCTTGGCGCTCGCCTTTCACCACTCATGACAGCTTTTTGCGACCAACCCCTGTTTCATTTGGTCATTTACCACCTGGATCCAGCTGTCGCAAAAGGCCGTGCAATCCAATTAGAAAATGGCTCAATTCATCGTGATCCACGCCTGAATGTCTCCCCTGTCCACATACCTAGCAATCACGTCGCCGTTTCCTGCATCCTGATAGACGAAGAGGCCTCTTGGAGCATTACGGCCCCCCTTTCTGTGGGTAATGTTGCAAAACCTCACCGTTGATTTGCTTTTTTTGTGTCCATTTCGTCGTTCTCCATTGTGGCTGTGCCCTCCATGTCGACTTTGCGGTCAGTATCATCTGCGAAAAGGCCGATGCCTGAGCAAGGCGCCAGGGTGCCCGTCACCCTCGGCCAGTCCTGGCGATGATGATTGAGACGTGACTGGCAATGGGAGGGAGGCCTTCCAGTCGAGCCTCCCGAGTCGTCTATAAAAGCTTCCAATTTTCCCTCGAGTGAACTCACGAGCTTTTGGTTTTTGAGACCTCCTGCGCAGTCGCCTTACCTTTCACTGCCCCTACCTCGGTGGCATACCTACGGCTGTATGATTTTTCTTCTTTGAACTTTATCACTCGATCATCTGGTCGGCCTTCGTCTGTTCCCCCCTTAAGCCTCCCTCCACTGCCAGCCACCATGGTCAACGACTTTCTTGACCCAAACTCCCTTGCTGGGGATACACGGCAACGCTCCCTCAGCAACGCGGAAACTGTCATCTCCTCCACTGCCAACCATAGCCCACTCCTCACGCCCTACGGCACAACTGCTGCTCCCAGCATTGTGGAGGAGTCAGCTGAAGTTGCCTTGCACCCAGATCCAGGCACCGAGGCTGACTTCCACGTGGAGAACAACCCTTTTGGGTTCTCTCCCGGGCAGTTGAACAAGCTCCTGAACCCCAAGTCGCTCCCGGCCTTCCGTGCTCTGGGCGGTCTTCGGGGCATTGCGCGCGGGCTGCGGACTGATCTCCACTCGGGCCTCAGTGTCGATGAGACAACTGCTCCCGCAAGAGTCACATTCGACGAGGCAGTGAATGCTGCAAAGGAGAAAGGCTCGCTGCCAGCACCCACCCCTGAAGCTGCAACCGGCGCACATCATCATGGCTCCGGGTCTGATCTGCATGCAGATCGAATCCGTGTGTTCAAGAAGAACGTGCTCCCAGCCAAGAAGCCAGACCCCCTCTGGAAGCTGATGTGGGTGGCATTCAACGAGGCTGTCCTGTTCCTTTTGACAGGCGCTGGTGTCATTTCCCTGGCTCTTGGTCTCTACGAGACTTTTGGCGTCACGCATGATGATGACCCGTCTGGAAAGATCAAATGGGTCGAAGGTGTCGCCATTCTCGCCGCCGTCGTCATCGTGGTAGTTGTGGGCTCGCATAACGACTACCAAAAGCAAAAGGCATTTGTGAAGCTGAACACGCGAAAGGAAGATCGGGAGATCAAGGCCATTCGTTCTGGCAAATCCGTTCTGATCAATGTCCACGAGATTCTGGCTGGCGATGTCTTGTATGTTGAGCCGGGCGACATGGTCCCGGTTGATGGCATCTTGATCAGTGGCCACGATGTTAAGTGCGACGAGTCCTCTGCTACTGGCGAGTCTGATGCTCTCCGCAAGACGCCTGGAGACAAGGTCTATGAGCTTCTTGAGTCCAAGCAAGGTACCATGAAAGATCTCGACCCCTTCATTATCTCTGGTTCCAGAGTTCTTGAGGGCATGGGAACGATCGTGTGCACTTCGGTTGGAGTACATAGCAGCTTTGGTAAGATCATGATGTCAGTTCGGACAGACATTGAGGCCACACCACTTCAAAAGAAACTGGAGAAGCTGGCTATCGCTATTGCGAAGCTCGGTGGAGGTGCTTCTGCTCTCATGTTCTTCATCCTTCTCTTCCGCTTTCTCGCGCAGTTGCCCACTGATGGGAAGACACCAGATGAGCGAGCTTCTACATTCGTCGATATGCTGGTTGTTGCAATTGCTATTGTCGCTGTGGCTGTTCCAGAGGGCCTTCCACTGGCTGTCACATTGGCATTGGCTTTCGCGACGACCAGGTTGCTCAAGGAGAACAATTTGGTCCGTGTTTTGCGAGCATGTGAGACGATGGGCAACGCAACCGCTATCTGTTCGGACAAGACTGGAACATTGACGACCAACAAGATGACGGTTGTGACTGGACGCTTTGGTACTACAAGTTTCACAGACTTGGAGGCAGACAAGGCAGAGGAACAATCTTCCGTCAAATGGGCCTCGTCATTACCAGCAAGCACGAAGCAGATCATCACGCAGTCTGTCGCCATCAACTCCACTGCTTTTGAGGGTGAACAGGACGGCCAAGAGACGTTCGTTGGTTCCAAGACGGAGACGGCTTTGCTTCAGCTCGCAAAGGATCATCTTGGAATGCAGTCCCTCGCTCAGACTCGTGACAACGAAGAGGTTGTGCAAATCGTCTCCTTTGACAGCATCAAGAAGTACATGGCCGCCGTGATCAAAGTCCAGCAGGATGAGAAGCCGCGCTACCGGCTCTTGGTCAAGGGAGCTTCCGAAATCTTGCTTGAGCTTTGCTCGACTCAACTGGACGTTGACTCTTTGGATCAGTTGCCTCTCCAGCACGACCTCATCCGAGAGACTATCAACAAGTATGCTGAAAAGTCTCTTCGCACCATTGCCATTGTTTTCAAGGATTTTGGACAGTGGCCACCGGTAGAAGCAAGAGTTGACGACGGCCACGTTGAAATCGATTCAGTGATGAACAACCTCACATTCCTCGGTGTCGTCGGAATCCAGGATCCTGTTCGCCCTGGTGTTCCAGAAGCTGTTCGCAAGGCACAGCATGCTGGCGTTACCGTGCGCATGGTCACTGGAGACAACGTCATTACGGCCCAGGCCATCGCGAAGGAATGTGGCATCTATACAGGCGGCATTGTCATGGAAGGCCCGGTCTTCCGCAAGCTGTCCGAGGAGGCAATGCATGAGACACTCCCGAAACTTGAAGTGCTCGCTCGTTCGTCCCCAGAAGACAAGCGCATCCTTGTAACGAGGCTGAAGGCAATGGGCGAGACCGTCGCTGTTACTGGTGATGGCACGAACGACGCACCGGCTTTGAAGGCTGCTGATGTGGGATTTTCTATGGGAATTTCCGGTACTGAAGTAGCCAAGGAAGCTTCAGCTATTATTCTCATGGATGACAATTTCACGTCAATTGTGACAGCTTTGAAATGGGGTAGAGCCGTTAATGATGCAGTTCAGAAGTTCCTTCAAGTGAGTACGGTTCGATAACAAGAACAATATTCTGGTTCTAACGAGTCCACAGTTCCAAATTACGGTCAACATCACGGCTGTGATTCTGGCGTTTGTCACGTCAATGTACAGTCCGACCATGAAACCTGTCCTCACGGCTATTCAGCTCCTTTGGGTCAACCTGATCATGGACACTTTTGCAGCTTTGGCTCTCGCCACAGACCCTCCGACAGATAAGATCCTGGACCGCCCTCCTCAAGGCAAATCGGCACCGTTGATTACGATGAATGTGAGCAAATCCCAGCGTGCCAGACAAGTGCACAATGCTAAAAGTTTCTGTACAGATGTGGAAGATGATCATCGGACAGTCTATTTTCCAGCTTGTTGTTAGCTTAATCTTCTACTTTGCAGGGCCCGAAATCCTGAACTATGATCGACAGGACGACGACATGATGCTACAGCTTGATACCCTCATCTTCAACTTGTTTGTGTGGATGCAGATCTTCAACGAGTTCAACAATCGTCGATTGGACAACAAGTTCAACGTCCTCGAGGGCGTCCAACGCAACTACTTCTTCGTTTTCATCAATCTGTTGATGGTCGGCCTCCAGTTGCTGATTGTCTTCATCGGCGGGCGCGTCTTTGGAATCAAACCCGGGGGTCTCAATGGCCCTCAGTGGGCGATCTCCATCATCGTTGCGTTGATGTCCATTCCTTGGGGTGTCGTTGTGCGCATATTCCCCGATGCCTGGTTCGACAGCATTGTCAGGTTTGTAGGCAAGCCCTTCGTCATTGTGTATCGTCTCCTGGCTCGTTTCTTCCGTTCCTTTGGGAGACTCTTCAAGAAAAAGACTCCCAAGAACGATGACTCGGAAGCTGGAGCACATTCTCGTGATCAGTCTGTCATCACAACCTCTGAAAAAAAGACCGCATCTCCGGCAACCGTCTCCGTTCCGGCCCCTGCTGTGCCAGTTGTGATCGCCTCCGATCAAATCGAGCCTGTCGCTACTCCTTCTATCGTTGCCCCGATCATCGTTGAGCCTGCCCCGGAAGACACCGCCAGCTCCAAGAAGGAGTGATCGAACCGCCACGCCGTCGATCCCGCATCGAGCCCTCTTGATCCTCTGCTTATGCATTTTCAAGAGCCTGAATCCCTCTGCGAACGACGCGTACTGCCTGCACATCCTGCTCGAGGCTACACCCTATTACACGATATTGGCGTCAGTTCACGCTATAAACGCCTCATCGACAATTTTCCTAGGCTTAGGCCAGGTGACATTTCCTTTTCTCCCATTCTTCGGTTGTAACTGTGCTCTGTTTGTTGCTTTCTGGTGGTATTCGACCTAGATAGTGTAAGGTGGAGAGCAAACCCTGTAACTAGCACATACTCACGGGGAACATCCCTCGCTTTCTGGCTGCTTACTACTAACTACCGACGACGTTTTCTGCGACTGCTGTGACGCCGCCCGATACGCACACCCTCGAGGCTTCAGAGCAGAACCCGATCACATTCCTCCGAGCCTCTGCCGAAAACGCCGAACCTCTACCACAGCTTTGGCTACGACAAAATACCGAACCTCCGTCACAGCATAGCATAGATCGAGATACCGAACCTCTGACATCACATCCGAAACAGCGAAATACCGAACCTCTGATCGAACATCCAAAACAACGATATACCGAACCTCTGACAGAACATTCGAAACAGCGAAATACTGAACCTCTGACAGAGCATCCAAAACAGCGAAGTACTGAACCTCTGACGCAACATACCAAACAGCCGAATACCGAACCTCTGACACAGTATATTATTACACCAATTACTGAACCTCTGACACACCAAACCTCTGCCCGAAATACTGAACCTCTCTTCAATTTTTCGAAATAACTGCCGAAACACTGAAACTCTCTTTAAATCACCCCTCTCTCCAGTATAAGCTGAACCTCTTGCTAATTTTTCTCCAGCATTCAGAAGCACTGAAGCCTGCTCAAAGATCTTTGCCTGGCTTTACAAGCCGAATATCTCGCCAATTTTCTTTGGCTTCCCTGTGGAGCATGATCGCTCAAGGGAGAGTAAATCTTCGACGACTACTCAGGTAGGAACTAGTTCACACATGATGTCGAATCAAACTTTTACGCACAGATAGGAGATGGTGCCAGCTCTACGCAGGGATCTCTCTCATACCTGCTTGCATTCATGAATGACGACGAATGATCACCCTGTAAACTTGCTATAGGAGATATACATCTCCCAATCAACCGAAACTTGGCCTATGTCCAAGGTTCAGCCTCATTGAGTCTTATCTTGACTCTGCAATGTAATCCACTTCTGATCGGCGCTGTGATTGTCAGATCTTCAAAGGTGATCGTAGATTCAAAACCAAATTTAAGCTTGTTCGCACTAGACTCTGGGGAACGAGTGGAGAGTATTTCAAGCAGCCATAGCCCAAAAGAAGCTTCATAAATTAACTCAATTTATTCAAGATTTGCCTTATCAACTATTTGTTGGTGATTTCTCGTGCGATCTCACCTTGTCAATAAGTGTCACGGAACTTACCAGACGCGGTTTTACTCTTTACTACGAGAGAGTTTGGGGTTGAAGTAAAATACAGCAAGGAAGAGGCCAGACCCAACATTTTAACGCAAGGACTAATGTCCTTACTCAAGATAGCAATGGTCACTCTCCAACTTTGTCTCTTTTATTCTGTCAAGCATTACAAGGAGGGTGTTCATGAAGATTGACTTGATAGAACTGCTGCTTAGAAATGCCAGATGTTTCTTAGTATATGTGGACTCGCTGTTTGGGTTACCAATCACTGCAAGGTTTATTCATTCATCCAAGATATGAGCGACTACTTTCCTTTTGGGGAAGCCACCAGATTTCATATGTACTTGGTTCACATGGCACTTTTATGTATTGATCACAGTTGTATTCCTTTTATTTCCATGGGCTAAAAAGCATTTATATACATGTCATGATCCCTGGTGATATATACGTTGGGATATTATTCGTGAGCCGTCGTGCTTAGATGTTGGCGTTGACCCAGGTCAGCAGGGCGCCAAGTCTGGCGTAGACACCAGAGTAGCCGGCCTGAGCGCAGCCCTGGCCCCAGGAGACGAGACCAACGAGGGTCTTGGACTCATCGACGATGGGGCCACCGCTGTCACCAGAGCAAGAGTCCTTGCCACCCTCCTCGACACCGGCGCAGAACATGTTGTCAGTGATCGCTGAGGTGCCGTACTGAGAGCGGCAGGTAGAGCGGGAGACAACGGGGACAGAGACCTTCAGCAGGCTAGCAGGGAGGGTCGAGCCGTTCTCTGAGGTAAGACCCCTATTAAGAAGCGTGTTAGTCTTTCAATTCGACTTAGGATAATTTGATCTTTAGGGACTACTTACCAACCAGCAACAGTGACGGTGGAACCAGCCTCGGGGTCAGAGCCGGACGCAGGGAGAGTGGCATAGGCAATGTTGCTGCCGGATTGGATAGGGGAAGACAGCTTCCAGACAGCGACGTCGTTGTCGACGACTGAGGCGTCGTAATCAGGGTGGACGGTGATCTTGGAAACTCCAACCTGAGTGCCACCAGAAGCCCATTTCTATCACAGATATTAGTCTCAGATCCCATTACTCACAGGCCCAAAGAGCAACTTACAAGAGATCCGGCTCGGACCTTGACAGAAGAAGCCGATTGGTCAACAGAGCAGTGAGCAGCAGTGAGGACGGTGTTGGCATCAATCAAAACACCACCACAGAAGTGGGAGCCGCTTTGAGACAAGCTGACAATGAAGGGAAAGTCTCCGGCGGCGGCAGGAGTGCCACCCACGACCTGGACGGAGGAGTCGGAGGGGAGAGCAGCAGCCATGGAGACGGCGGGAAGGGCCAGAGCGGCAGCGACGAGAGACATCTTGGGAGCCATCTTGACTGTTGGTTGAACGAAGAACCGCGGATTGGAAGTCTTGTAAGAGAATGGATATGTGTCCTGCTGGTGCTCGTCCTACTGAAGCTGGTTGAGGAGGTGTTGAGTACGATGTTGAAAGGGGGAGAATCTAATAGGCTTATATACAATTCGAAACGCTTCTTGTCGAGCATCGGATTCACGATTGATCGTCGTCGTCCTAGTTAGTCTGAGACGTTTCCGAGCTCTGAATGTCGTCTGTAGCCGCCTTCCAGATGAAGCCTAGCAACGGAGTATGCGCTGGGGTGGATGTTGGGTGGAGTGGTGTCACTGTCGATCTCTTACAATGTTAAATTAGGCCAGTACCGGGGCATGAACGGAACCTGTATGGCCTCGCTGAAACCGCCCGAGCATTGCCTCAACCCCTGAAACGATTCAGCCGCCCGCTGACTTAGCAGTTGCGCTCGGCTGATCTTCTGGGGAATTGATCACCCGGAAAGCTACTTTTTGCATTTGAACTGGTTATTGAATGAAGAACACTTAAATGTAGTGATTGACTAAGCTTGGTGCTTCGTTGTTCTGCATTCACATTGGTGGCTGAGGCTTCGTTTGAGATTGCGAAGGGAATACGGCCCCCCTACTCCACAGCCTTAATGCCACTCAGCTCGACAGCTGCGTTTCATGGCAATTACGTCGCCAACTTACCTGGGCCTTCCCGAGCCAGTTGGCCAGACGCTGACTGCTTCCTTTAGCCTTGAAACGGCAGCTGGGGGCTTTTGCTATCTGGAAGAATCTACTGATCGGGCCTAGCTGCTGACCCAAGAGACGGATCGACTGTCACTGTTTCTTTAAAAGATGGGAGCCGCCACAATCCTTGTCACACACGCTTCCTTCACTCTGAAGCGCTCCGCTAAACTACGCGCTCCTCCAGTGGAACCCCAACCCAGGGCTGTGTATGGCTGCTACTCAAATGCAGCATGACCAACCACAGCTGGCCGAGCAAGTCGTTTGGGTAGCTAAGAAAAGAAGTGCCGAGAGCAGGTAGCTAGCACGGGAAATGCAACACCCCAGCATTCGTCACTCCAGACAGTGGACTTGGTGTGCTTCAGGAGGTGAGGCTATCCTAATCAGCCAACGCCTGGTCCCAATTGAAGATGGGTGCTCCACGCGAAAGGGCAACCAAAATAGACAGCTGGTGTTCAGTTCAAAGGTTCTACGCATACAGACTATATCCATGAGGTTAGGCCAATGACAGTTGTGACTCCTTCCTAATCAACAGTATGATCATCGTCTCATGGGAAGATGAAGACTCCGCTTAGAAATGCATCACACGAATATCGAGAGGATGTTATTTTCGAGGAGGCGATGTCGATCAGCCAGAGACCCACGCGAGGCAATGGCGGAGCGCTATTTGCAGAAATTCGCATCTCAGGGCCATATTCCCCATTCGCTGTCGCATTGGAGTATGTAATGATAATTGAATCCCTCAAATCCGTATAACAGTCGGTGTGGTCTCACAGCGGGAGGGGCTGATCCCCTCAGCCTTGCCACAGGGTATCAAGCCTGGGTAGACGCATCTTCTGCTACCCAGTGACATTCGACTGTGGAAACATGTGATGAGTGAGGACCTTTGTTTTGAATACGGGGCTTTGCGACTGACGTGATGAGGAATGACCCTTGCTGGTGCCCCATCAAATCCGCACCGACAGTGGGCTCACCCGATTCCCCAAAGGGAAGGCCCTGACTCAGTTGCCATACCTTTGCTCTGTCGGCCTCGGTAGCTCCCTTATCTGATCACGCTGAAGGCATATCGTATACATTTTAGGTGTGTGATGGAATGTACAGAGACCCACGGACTTTTGTTCGCCTTTGGTTTGGGAGTTGTGCTCGCTGATATTCTGTTGATAATCCCGGCTCGCTCTCCGACTTCTTGCACTTCCGAATTCTTTCCCTTTCCCATTTTTGTAAATGTATCACCTTCCAGTTTCGACGATGAGATGATAACCAATCAAGGTTCTTCCTAGATTCAGAAAACGTGACGGAAAAGAGCATCCACTCTCTTCCGCTGGCCTATTCCAGCGCATCCGTTGGATCACCTATATGGTCATAGGGTAGCTATCAGACTCAGGCATCAGAATGGAAGACACCGACCTAGAATTTTCAACTCAGCTCGGCTATTCTATCTCTAATCATATTGCCACATGCTCTATCCTAAGATCTGTTTATTCGAGGGTCTTCAGACGAGCTGCAACAGTAAATTTTTGTTCACTTGTTGAAGTGGGATGCCCTAACTCGAAACCTATTGCCACGGTGCCCAGATATAGACAGGCGGAAGAGGAGACAAGTTGAGAAAAGATCTTCAACGTCTGCAATCTGTCTGAGCCCTGGCAAGCACCTGCCCTCGTCGGCCGCTGGCCTCTCCTCACCATGGGCCTTTTAGAAGGATTCACATCATTGGGCCTCTCGATTAGGCAAACATGCAGATCTTTGCGGTGGGAACATATCAAGAACTACGGGTGGTTTCCACCCACTAAAAGGTGAGCATGGGCTCATGCATGGTCCTCGACCTATTGTACAATTAATCATGCACTTTGCTTTGTCCCGGTACTACCTACTTGAAGACAATCTCTTTCTACTATTCTTCCTCCTCCCATGGCCCTCGAACCCCTGAAAATTCCAAGCGCTCACTCTCTCCCTCAATGAGATTTAAAAAGAGAAGCAACAAGGATTCTGAGCTGGAATCCCCATTTCAAGAGACGACTGCATTATGGAATCTTTGCCATGTTTGCTAATTTTCACTGTTATTCTCAACAGTCATGTCTACTAGAATAACGAAGACATAGAGGTGGTTTATCGTTGGTCTCGGGATACCTCTGTCAACAATATTACATGCAGCCCTTTACAGCACATTTGGCTTGACTGCCTCGGGAATTGATATCTTCCACTGGCAGTTACTGGAAGTGCATCTTAGCGACTTGAAATATCCAAAAAGTCCAGACTTCCTAGATTCATGGCGAGCGACGAAGTATGGAACACAGTTCGATCAAAGGGTAGAAGAAGCCTATGGTTGGGACAAGGCAAGTACTAGAGCCAATCTCTACTGCGTCTTCCAAACCGCTTTACTGACAGCAAATAATGGGATCAATGGTATTACCTACTCAAAATATATATAATATCATCCTCTGCTTGGTGGTGAGTAATCGGCGTAGTCGGCGAGTCGGCAAAAATGGCCGCCCCACAATTAACTCGCCGTGCCGAGGCATCTGGCCGGCAAAGGACTAACTCAGCCACCCGGTTTTTGAAGAACCAACCCCATGGGGCACAATAAAGCTTCCGTCGATCAACAGACACGACACCTAAAACCTTGGCTGTTACATAGAGAATTCCCATCTCCAACTACCGCCTCCCTGTATCCATCTTACTCGGACCGCGCAGTGTCTAGACATCATGGCTTCCCCTCGTACGTCGCTCTCCGTGTCCCAGCCATGACCTACCAGATGACGCGAGCTTGATTACTGACCACCCTCCCTTATGTTCGCTCTACAGAGCAGATCCGGACTCCCCTCACGGATCTTTTCAAGATCAACCACCCCGTGTTGCTGGCCGGCATGAACGTCGCCGCTGGCCCACGCCTAGCAGCCGCTGTCTCCAATGCTGGAGGTCTGGGTGTCATCGGCGGTCTCGGCTACACGCCTGACATGCTTCGCGAGCAGATTGCCGAACTGAAGAGCTATCTTATTGACAAGAATGCTCCGTTCGGCATCGATCTCCTCCTGCCCCAAATCGGAGGAAACGCGAGGAAGACCAAGTGCGTGATGACGAATTGCGACCCAAATGCAGATGTGTGGCAAAAAGATCAAAAATAATGCTGACAGTTAGATTTTAGCTACGACTACACAAAGGGAAAGCTCAACGAGCTCATCGACGCCATTATCGACTCAGGAGCCAAGCTCTTCGTGTCCGCTGTTGGTGTGCCTCCCAAGGCTGTCGTTGACAAGTTACACGCCAATGGCATCGTCTACATGAACATGGTCGGCCACGTCAAGCACATCAAAAAGTGCCTCGCCCTCGGTGTTGACATCATCTGTGCTCAAGGTGGCGAAGGAGGAGGTCACACGGGTGACACACCAACTACAGTCCTCATCCCAGCTGCCGTAGAAGCTTGCAAGGGTCATAATTCTCCACTCACAGGGCAGCCCGTGCAGGTTGTGGCAGCCGGCGGTATTCACAATGGCCAGCTGTTGGCAGCAGCCCTTAACATGGGAGCCAGTGGGGTGTGGGTGGGCACCAGGTTCATTCTTACTGAGGAGGCCGGGGCTACAGACCATCACAAGGAAGTTGTCCGTACTGCTGGTCACGACGATAACATCCGGACCCTTGTCTACAGTGGCCGTCCTATGCGGGTGAGGAGCAACCCATACCTGGAGGCGTGGGAGAATGAGCGCAAGCAGGAGCAGCAAGCGCTTCTAGCCAAGGGGGTCATCCCTTATGACGCGGATGTGGACGTTGCCAGTGTCAAGGATGACGAGGCCAGGCTTGACGAGCTTGAGAAGTATGACAAGCTCCTGATGGGCAAGTGTGCTGCTGTTGTCAATGAGTTGAAGCCTGCCAAGGCTGTTGTTGATGAATTTGTCACTGATGCGACTGCTTGGATAAAGAAGACCCATGGCATGATTGCTAAGCTATAGGGAGATGCCATGGCATGACGAGTGTAGCATAGTAGTGTATATATAGCGCAACGCACGATTTTCCCCAATGTTTCGGCGCTTTAATCATCGTTCCTGTAGTGTATCTTTGAGCTACGTAGGCGTTCCTCTAGCTCGTTGACACATCGTCCCCTGGTCGATGATACCCGAGCCTGGGATAAGGGGTTACGTATTTTCGGTCCTCGTCTTCTGTCCAGCGGGGATAATCTGGGTTCTAGAAACGATGATGAGCTCAAATAGAAACTCGATTGGGAGGGGGATGTTCACGATGAGTACACCTACATTATCAAAGAAGGGCAGTTTAGATCCGACCTCTTCGTATTCTGTCAACCATTGATCCTCTGGGAGATGGCGTCTTTTGCACCAAGTGCACCTGATCCGGGTATTTTCAGGCACTGCAGAACCGCATAGACACCAGAACTAAAATAGGTTGCTGTTAGCAAAGGGCCGACAACTGCGAAGAAGACTGGGTGAGGGGCTGGGTATAAACTTGCGGAGCGAGAAAATTGATGATCCCACACCGACTTGGTTTCTTCTTCATCACCTTCAAGCACGGTATGTTCTTCAAAGTAGTCCCTGGTGAACTTCCTTTCCTCCACAATGCACCGGGTACAAATCCAACGAAGGTAACAGTCGCAATCGCAGAGTTCGTTGAGAAATTTCCCCGAAAGCTCCTTCTCCATCTCGATATCACATTCTGGACATAGACACATGATATTCTCAGCCTGGTGAGGAGAGTTCAGATGTGGACGCCGAACAGGATACCACGGAGGCGGCCCCGCCCGAGGGTAGAATCGACACTCTTCGCAGATATTGATGCCACATTTGATGCAGGGCAGGGCTCCGGCTTCGTCGCATTTGACATTGTATAGAAAAACTTCAATCTCCTCATCGGCAGTAAATCCTGGGTTGATGGTCCACATCCCTGCTCGCTTCCAGTCATTGGGATATGGGGACTTGAACTCCTGGCGGAGAGCAAGGCCGCGGCCGTCACAGAGAGATAGCCTTTGTAGTTTTTTGAAAAGCATAGGCGATGCTAGAATACATGAGTGGTGGTACTGGTTCGTAAGGCCAAGATGATAGAGATCGATCGAGGATAGCCATGAAGCCAAGATTGGCAGAATTGCGTAGGATGAGATAAGATCGGTGATGCACGGCGATTGAGAAGGCCCAGAAGGGGCGATGTTTGCATTTTGATCTGCCATGATTGAATCGCACTTCGGCATCACCTCTTTCCAGTATATATATATATTCTCACAAGCAAAGTAGCTTGACAGAGCTGTTATTTGGAAGCTGACCGCCGCCGGGGCCACGCCTTTTTGCTGACAGCATTGTGCCCCTGATCGGTTTTTAGGCTGCAACTCTGTTATGACTCATTGCAACTCCACAATTGCTGCCCAGATAAGTCAAAATTCTTGTCCATTCAACAACTTGGAAAGAAATTTGGAGAAGAAGGCCTCTATTGATTCAATGGTATCGGTCAGAACTATGAAAGTAAGAGCAAAAAGCCTCGTAAAGCAACACCATTGACCGCCAACACTATGATCAACCAGTGCGGAGGACACTTATGAACCCCAGGCCCAAGGATAGAGAGCATATGAAAGTTTAGTGTTCAACACTGCTCTCTTGATCGAAAAGCATCAGTAACTGACGAGGGCTTCGTGCCTGAACTCCCATTCATCGGGGTAAATCTTCATAGACATCGTAGACCGAAGAGGCGGGCAGGCGACTGACAAAAAAACATGGCACACCTAGAACCTTCAGCGTTGAATTTCAACACAAAGCAATCAACCAGTAACAAACACAATATCGAGCTAGATATTTTAGAAAATCCTATCATTGCCTTGTTATTACATTTAGTATCATTATGAAGAAAATGATGTCCCTGACTTGCATGAAAAAAGCTTTGATTTGCATCTTTTATGTCGGTCGCTTGGCTCGAGACTTCATTTCGCGCGGGGCGCAAACATTTATGGCGTGCAATGTAAGATCCCTTGACAGTTAATCTACTGAATATGTTAGGAGAACGGAAGCGATTGGAGTCACATGATCAAAACGACCAACATGACTGTTTGAACATACAGTTAAAGAAAAATAAGCCGATTTCTCGGTGTCACAACTCGCCGAGAGGGTAACATTACCCTCCGCGCCAAGGAACACCCCATGATCATATTTAGCTGTCCTAACTAACTATTAGTGTGCGGGGTTAGAACCGTAGCCTTGGAAGCCTCTTTCAGCGTGGATTTTGTTGGGAAAGGGTGTTTCTGGGATGTGCCATTTTGCATTTAGCCGGGAACATCTTGCCACCCCTGTGTCTCACGTAGAGACACCAGGGTGAGTTTGCTGCAACGTTGGAGAATGTTCATAACGTAAACCTGGGATCGAATGCTATGTTTCAAATATTCTATGATGTGAGGCTTGCTTCGTTGGCGCTCAAACGACGTTGGGCCGTCAATGAATAGCAGCGGTTGCTTGAAAACGGCTCGATCTTGTCTCGAACTGTAGCTGTCTTATTACTCTTGCCCACCGGTATTATGTATCTCCTTCTGCCTCTGAAGGTGTGGGGAACCCTGCTCACCATCATTCTCGAGGCCTCTTGGCCGGAAAAATTATGGCCATGAGCTCGCTTATATAGATCAAGAACGTCCCCATGAGCTCTCGCACATACCAACCAAGTTTCGTGCTTGAATGGAGAAATGGGTAACGAAACTGCCTCTGCTCGCGAAAGGAAGCGCAATGACGGCCATGAGGTCGCCCACCGCAAGGTTGAATCCGTCGCCCTTGCCGACGCGGTGGCTAAGGATTCGCCCAAGTACACTACCGCCGCCCAGTTTAAGCTCTACGGGATCATGGTTTTCTGCACCCTGAGTATGTCTTAAGATCACCCACTCCCATTTAGCCCTTCGAAGTACTGATGCGGGCAACCAGACTGTATCATGAACGGTTACGACGGAAGCGTGATGGGCAGTATCAACGCCATGGATACCTGGCACAACTACTTCGGCATCGGCAAAACAGGATCGGGAATTGGCCTCGTAACTGCCATCTATCCTGTTGGGCAAGTCTCTGGCTCGTTCTTTGCAGGCCTGATCCTTGATAACTTCGGCCGCAAAGTAGCCATGTTCATCGGAGCATGCTTCATCATCATCGGTTCAGTGGTGCAGGCGACAACTGCCAACCAAAACCTCAACCAATTCATCGGTGGCCGGTATCTGGTCGGATTCGGTGTTCCAATCTGTGTGACTGCTGCACCAACCTATCTGGTAGAAATGGCCTACCCGACATGGAGAGGTCTTGCGGGTGGTGCATACAATGTATTTGGCTGGTATCTCGGCGCTATCAGTAAGTCTTCCCCATAGCTCTGTTTAACTTTCTAGTCGCAAATCACAATGCTGATAACATACAATAGCCGCAACTTGGACGTGTTATGGAACAGGATTGATGCCAAACCAGTGGTCTTGGCGCATCCCGCTCATCATTCAAGCTGTCCCAGCTGCTATCGTTGCCTGCACGGTCTGGCTGCTTCCAGAAAGTCCCAGATGGCTCTGTTCCAAGCGAAGAGAAGACGAAGCCCGTGAAATTCTTGTCAAATATCATGGCGAAGGCGATCCAGACTCGGCAGTCGCAAGACTAGAGTTGGAGGAGATGCAGCAGTCTCTAGGCATCGAGCGTGAATCAGAGCATGGCCAGAGCAGGTGGTGGGACTACCGCGTGCTCTTCAACAGCCGGCCAGCCCGCTATCGAATGTGGATTATCCTGATGGTCGCAGTCTTCAATCAGTTCACAGGAGGGTCGGTCATATCCTACTACCTGCCAACAATGATTGACGCCGTCGGTATCAAATCCGCAAGGCAGCAGCTCCTACTCAACGCTTTGAACAGTATCTTCTCCTTCTGCGGAGGTATTGCCGGTGCGTTCTTTGTCGACAGGTTGGGTCGTCGTCCGTTACTCCTCTGGGGAGTCTTCCTCACCGGCCTGGTGTACATCCCCATCAATGTGATAGCGGCAAAGGCTGGTGCCAAGATCGAGACCGGAGCTGGTTATGCCTTCATCGCCATGATTTATCTGTACGGCATCGTCAGCTCGTTCTCTTGGACTCCGCTCCAGGCCCTCTACCCGGCCGAGATCTTGAACAACGATATCCGTGCAAAAGGTATTGCCTGCAAGAACTTCCTGGGTGGTCTCTCCGGCTTTATTAACATGTACGCGACGCCGATTGCGCTTGGCAACATTGGTTGGAAGACATATACCATCTTTCTGGTTCTTCATGCCGTCCATTGGATTTTGATGTACTTCGTCACGGTGGAAACCAAAGGCAGATCGCTTGAGGAGATTGAGGAGATATTCAACGATCCCAGCCCGGTCAAGAGGAGCAAGCAGAAGTATGATGTTGTCATCAGCCAGGGTGTGGGCGTCAAGCTTGACGAGTCCTGATCGTCGTTGCGTGGAGGCTGTTGCGGTTATGTTGGTCGTTTGAAATGCCGTTACGAAGTGATTTGAGTTGCAAGCTATAATTAACACAGTCAGTGGAGTTGAGACTTGAGAAATGGATTTGAATTAAGTAGTTTTGAGGCGGTGATTGCATGAACATTACTCACCATGCGCTGACTGCGCCTCCAATTCCCACTACCCATGGCAAATGCCGGCCTGAATAGGTAATACAATGCCAACCAACAGTTAGAACGCAGCCAATGAGCACATTAAACAAGAGATGCTGGGCCAACCGAAAGCTGCCTAGAATTTGCCTTACCGATGCTCCACTGGGTGCGGCGTAATATTGCGGCCAGCCCTGATTGCACATAAAAACATCTGATTCCTGTCTTGCAATTCTTACTTCTTCTTCTCAGTACAGCCTCTACGTAAGGCGACCTCCATCAAGTTTCCAACCAGAGAAAATAACACCAGCAGCTTAATCATGTTCTCGCCAGCTCATTTTTACGACAACATGTTTCCCCCTCACGATGGGCCTCTGGGGATCTTTTCCGCGACCGCGGGCTGTCTCGCAGTAGGGAGTCTATTGACTGCTGTTGTGGCTTGCCTGAGATCTAGCTACTCCAATACTCGCGATTGGGTCTTCTTCCATCTTCTCCAATGGACCTTCCTGATACTAGCTTGTTTCTCCCCTACCATCTACCCGTACGATCTCGCCAGGAGTAGGTTGTTTCCGAGTTAGCTGCATGACAAAATCGCTCACCTAGTTCAGACGCCACGGAGCTGGGTCCCCTTTGCCTCGCCAGTAAATCCTCATATACAGGATTTGTCGCATCTACGGTTCTTCTACGTTTCTTATCTTACTATCTCGTCGAGGATCTCAACGCTGATGCCAAGACCAACTCGTTTGAGGACCTTTTACGGCGAAACGTCAGCGCCAACATGATGTTCTTGGTGCCGCACATGATACATTCCCTAGGAATCCTTACCCTCCCTTCCGAGATAGGTCCCAGTTGCAATCCGGGCTTCCTGAGGACTGGTTTGTATGTCGCCTGGATGCTTGCTCGCGCAGCTGCGATAAAGGACAATATCGAGACTTTCCGCGACGTTTTCTCATCAGGTCTTGCCACTCCTGGTCTATCAGTGATACGCTATACGATCCTCGTGATATACATTTGCGTGGCGGCTCAGATTCCTCTTGAACTAGGCGCTGTTGTTTTCGACGCGCGCGCACTGCTGGTGCTGTCAATGATCAGCATGCAGGTCGCCGTCGCGGCGATGCTGCTGGTGTGCAACCTGAGGACCTGGCGCCGGGGCAAGGCAAAGTCTCTGTCCGATGAGAAGCCCGATGAGAAGCCCGATGAGAAGTCTGATGAGCTTTTACAGACCGAAAAGTCTCTGTAGGATTGCAATTGAGTTTGAGTCTGGAGGTTAGTGGAGGTGGTATATGTGAGGAGCTTCCTACGCAGCAAAGTGTCAAGTTTAAGATAGGGTCTAAGCATGATGCCAAGCTTATGCTGGACAGTATCTTTCTTCAAATCTTGTGTTCATAAGATAAACTCTATCTGTAACCAAGGTAAGATCCATTTTCTCCTTCCTCTATAACCTCATCTTACCTCTCCAAACATATCTTTACAGCTCCAGTCTGAAGCTAATAGTTAATAGGATATTGTTTTTCCTGAATCTCATTAGAACCGTTCATAAAACTCCAACGCGGTCGACGAATCACTTGAATTCTGGTAGACTGTTGGGGGCACTTGTCGCTAGATGAACATTGAAGCCAGCTTAGATCACACGAACCCAACAGAATGATTAGGCTCCAGCCCGTTTTACTTTGAATTAATACAATCTATCAAATAGTATTTTCTGCCCCCATTGTGACAAGAAATCGACGATTTTGTAAGAATTTCTGGAGATCGATGTCCACTATAAAGGCTCCGTAGGCTGACGGCTGTTGACGACAAAGCCCCGCATTTGAATCACACTGCAACGTCGTGATGATCATCGTCTGACAAACCATCGCGGCTTCATCATCCAGCCGTCTACCTTCATCCCAAGCCATCGTACATCGCCTCTAGAATGGCTCCCCAGGGTCTCGCCATCATCATCGGCGCCGGCCGCACCTCAGGCGCCGGCATCGCCCGTGTCCTCGCCGATCCCCAGAAGGGCAACATGGCCGTCGCCCTCCTCGCCCGCAACAAGGACGCCCTCGATGCCCTCGCCTCGGACCTGCGCGTCTCGTCCAACGGCGGCATCCTCCAGGCCTTCGCCACCAACACCAACCCCGACCGCCTCAAGGCCACCTTTGCCCAGATCGCCGCGGAGCCCGCCTTCAAGGACCTCAAGCTCGCCCTGGCCATCTACCACGTCCGCAACGCCGCCCGCAAGCCCTTCCTCGAGGAGACGCCCGAGGCCTTCAACGAGACCATGCAGACCTACACCACCGGCGCCGTCGTCTTCGCCCAGGAGGCCCTCAAGCTCATGTACGCCCAGCACGGCGGCCAGACGCCCCTCGCTGAGACCGCGGGCGCCGTCAAAGGCACCATCATCTTCACGGGGACGCTGGGAGCCCTGCGCACGAACCAGAACTACGCGTCGTACGGGGCCTCGCGTGCCAGCGTGCGCATGATCGCCCAGGCCATCGCCAAGGAGCACAGCAAGTTCGGCGTGCACGTCGTCCACGCCATCGCCAACGGGCCCATCGCCGACGAGGACAGCGAGAAGACGCAGACGGGGGTCAGCATGAGGGGCGAGGACGTGGGGGAGACGTATCTCTGGCTGTCGAGGCAGCCGTCGTCGCTGTGGGTGCACGAGCTGGATATGCGTCCGGCGCAGGAGAACTTTTAGCGGTGCAATCGTCAATCATTTTTCTCATGTCTCATGTTTGAACTATCGTAACCTAGGTTGTTGACCTGGTTCTTATAAAACACGAATAAAGCCTCCCAGTTTGTCTTGCTGTCCACTTCATAGCTCATCAGCTCTCATCACATAGACCACCATTGTGGCATGTTCATCCTGTGCGGACAGCCAATAATCATTAGTAGCACACTCAGTTCCCTTGCTATTCATTATTCATAGCACATCCATTCCCAATCGCAAAAAGTGCATCATCCGTAATCTTTTGACCTTTTCATAGCTTCATACCACATGACAAACACCCCAAAGACAAACCATCACATACTCATCTGGTAACCGACCCTCCGAGCCTTCTGGACAAGCTTCCTCATGTCAGCCAGCAAAGGGTCAGTCTCGCAATGCTGCGTGACCATCTCCGTCTTCATGTGGGCCTCGGAGAGGAAGCTCACGCGCGAGTCGAAGGGGTTCTCCTCGCCGGGCTCCGGGTCCTCGACAAACTTGCGAAGCCTGTTCAGCTGCGGCTGGATGACTGCCTGGCCCCACGCGCCCTCCTTGGTGGTGATGATGCTCCTCAGGTTCGGCGGCGGCACGAGCGCGTCCAGGGCCTTGAGCATTGCGTACGCGGCCTTGACCTTGTCCTCTAGTGATGGCGGCGGGTGGATGTCCATGCGCTCTCCGTACAGGGAGAGGATGCGCATGCGCTCCTCTCTGAAGTTGATCAAGGCTAGGAGACGGGCCTTTTCGTCCTCCATGGCTTTGATCTCACTCTCATCAGCTTGGACCGTGTTGACCTGTCGAGACATGGGAGCTCCAGGCATAGCAACTACAGGCGCATGAGTTCCAGGCGTATGAGCTCCGGGCATAGAAGGTACAAGCATAGAAACCCCAGGCATAGAAACTCCGGGCAAAGGAACATCAAGCATATGAAATCCAGGCATGGGAGCTCCAGGCGCATGATCTGCAGACATCAGAGCTCTAGGCATAGGAGCGATTTGCACAGTCCCAGATGGAGGAGGTTGTCTGTAGGGAATGGGTCGGTGCACGAAGGGGGTCGTCAACAGCGCGTCTGGGCGTGGATTGGGAGACACGTGCCAGGAGCCGTGGAAGACACCGAAGCCTGGAGGCAGGTAGGCTTCAGGCAGGTAGCCTGGGGGCAGGTATCCTGGAGGCACCTGGACTGGAGGCATCTGGGCTTGAGACGTTTGGCCTGGAAGCTTTTGGTTCGTGGGGATAATCCATATGCCTTCACGAGGCTGTCGGGCCGGGATAACGTGGGGCTGGGGCTGCTGGTTCCCAGTCTGATTCTGAAGGATACTCTGTCAGTTTCCAGGCTCAAGTGAATCAGAGGGTAGTGACTAGGTAGGTTAAGGACTGGACTTGCCATCTCGGACGTTGGCTCGGCGTTGGTATTAGCAGGAGCCGATGATGGAGAATTCGACTGCTTGTCGGAGTCTGAAAGGCAGATAATCTGGCCGGGTGCCGCGGCCTGTTCCATCTCTTTCTCCTTCTGCTTCTCCATCTCCGCCTCCTGCTCCTGCTCCTGCTCCTTCTGCTCCTCCTTCTCCTGCCGCTTCTTCTGCATCCTTTTCTTAGCAGGCATCTTGGTGGGTTGCTGGTCCGAATTGACCAGACCTTTATCCGTTTGCTACATCACTGCTTGTTAGCTCATCTGAGAACAAAAGCATCGCGATGGAAAGAAAAGAAAAGGAATAGAAGGAAAGAGAAAAGAGGAAATAAAAGAGATGTGAACACAATAATAGAGAAGGGAAGACAATAACAAAGAAGGGAAGACAATAATAAAGAATGAAAGATAATAATAAAAAAGGGAAGGTAATAATTTAGAAGGAAAGGCAATAATAGAGAAGGAAAGGCAGTAATATAGAAGGGAAAAGAAGAAAGGGGAAAAGAAGTGAAAGAAACAGAGGAAAGAAGAGAGGTAGAAAGGTAATAATAAAGACGAAATAAGAAAGAGAGGGGGGAGAAGGAAGGGCGAAAGACGCAAAAAACAGAGAAGTAAAGTCAAGTAAAGAAAAGAAAAACGAGAGAAAGAAGAGAGGAAAGGGAAAGAGAAAGTGAAGAAATGAGGAAACAAGGTGGAAATTTTGTGAAAAGTAGGGGCTCACCAAGCTAGCAATGACCCAGTCGAGCACACATGGGCGAACGAGTCCTTGGAACTGCTCAGGCTGGTTCATGGAGGTGGAAGCGATTCTTAAGCGAGCCTCGTCGCGGTCGCAGTGTTCAGAAATGTAGCGCAGCTTTTGCAAGCCGTCGCGGGTGAGGCTTGTGGGACGAATTCGGGCAGGGAGGTAGTCATGAAAGTAGGGGTCCCCCTGGGGGATGGTGAAGAATTCGTAAAGGTTTTTGACCTCCCATTTGCGGCAGATTGATCGAAGACAGAGGAGGACGTCGGGTGCGAGAACATGAGGGGGACGGCGGTTGGAGGGAGTCTGGGTTTCAGTCTTGGGCTCGTCACCGACCTGCTTGGCCTCATCGCCAGGAGAGGCTACAGCACCAGGAGATGTTGTATCGCTGGGCGAGGCTACATCACCGGGAAAGATTGAATCACCGGGTGAGGTCGAATCACCAGGGGAGGCGTCGGCATCCATCGCAGGCGGAGTCTCAGCTGGCTGAAGAGGTGCCGGCCACACGGTGATGCTTTCGTGACACTGATCGTCAGACCGGGAGGGAATGACGAGAGGAGGACGCACTGCAAGGAATGAGTATAACGAAATAAACTGAAAGGAATACTAGTCTTGTCTGTCTTGCTGGGCTTGGAGAAGGGTCAAGAAGCTCGCTTACCTTTGAGAGTGACGATCAAGGACATTTGTCTAAATCTTGGGTCGGGATTGAACGCGTGCAGGGGGGAAAAACAACAAATGGGAATAGAAAGACAGTTGACGTGTATTAGATATGCGAGTTCCCGGCGTCAGATGCTTTGTGCGAGCAGCACAGCAAGTGTTCACAAGATCGTCGTCATGTTGAGGTTCAGATCGCGTCTGTGGGAGGAGAGAAAAACAAAGGGGACGAGAGGAGAGAAGAAGACGTGAAATGGGGAGTGAAATCAGCTGCCCATTGTTAGGGGCCCTTCAGTGTCTTGTTATCAAATCTGAGGTGGAAGTGAGGTCTATCTGAGCTACAGCAGCCATCCGTCCGTCGCCATCCGTCAACAACCGTCAAGATATACAGCGCCCACAGATTGTCCTGCGCATGGAACCTTCCAGAGGCGCAGATAGGCAGTCCGAATGAGCGCGTCTAGCAGAAATAAATATCGCGCTTGACCTTCAATTGCTATTGAAGTTGACGCGGTAGACGATGATTTGATTACATGGTGGTTGATATCGTCCGGTGCAAGCACAGATCATTGTGTTGCTACGAAGAGCTCTGCATTACCCTACACCTCAGATGCCACCAGCCCTATGGCTTCAGCAGGTGGATTGTTGCAGGCAATCGTGGCAGTCAGCTAGGCTAGAATTTAGTGTACGATTATAAGAATTGTTATTGACGGGCTTCTGTCTGAGAGTGGAAAGAATATGTGGGAGCAAGCCCAGCCCATTGTTAATATTAGCTGCTTTGCCTGTCGTGGTGGTGACAAATCTTGAATGACTGCTGCATCAACATGAGATGGAATTTCTTGGCTTGGACCACGCTGTCGGGACTGGGCCAGACTCATGGGAGATTGATTGTGCCTCATTTGCATTGATTAGTCGCACCAATACGCGCATACTCAGCTGAGGCACAGCACAGGCGCGTCTTACTTTACCGGCTTTGGCCAGCAAGGAACCATCCCTGCCAGCCGGTAGCAGGGAAAGTAATAATCCATGGTTGCACAGTTATTCCTGTGGTTTACTCAGTGACCATGTGTTTTATGCTGGCGGGATGGGATGAGAGACGTGCCTCCATCTTGGCATCAATCCATCAAAGAGAATAAGCACAGTTGGCGCTAGACTTTCGCCGTTCTCACTGACGCCTTCACGTTCACTCACCTCACTTTCACAAGCTTCATCCTCACAAGGCTAATTTCACAGGCGCGTGGGGGCAAACCGGCCGAGCAGGCTGAAAAGAGTGCTGCACATTAGCTCCTCCCCACTCTTCGCCATCGCGGCACTTGGCGGTGGATAACCTGCATACGCGTAGTTGGCCGTCTATTATATTCCTGTACGAGCCGTAGGACTGTTGGTCTGTCCTTGAGGTGCTGAAGCTGGTCGTACGTAAGTCGGAAGACGTGGGTGAAGGACATCAGACGTGGTTGAAGGGGCACCTCCGCCGGCTGAAACAGGGAGGTGAAAACCTGGCCGACGCTCGGATCATGTTCGAATAAAGGCGAAACAGACAAATACCAGCAGGCTGCCGGCGAGCCGTAGCCTGCTTCACTAACTGCGTCTAATTCCCCTGACTGCTGCTAGCTACGACCAACCCACCGTCCGGAACGAACAGGAAACGAGCGTGGAAATCCAGGAGCACACACCTCCTCGCGGTCGCGGCAGACGACAGCCCTGGATCGGGATATAGCAGCCGTCCGTCCGTTGTCTCCGTCCAACTCAATCCGTTCTGGCCTCGTGCCGAACTGACTGTGCAGCCCAGCCTAACCCTGCGACCGCCACTCCTCCTCCACCATCATCACCATTTATTTTATGCTACTCATTGGCATTGCCCGCGCTCTCGAGAATAGGGCTGAATCTCCCGTCACCTGTCTCAGTTCACCAAGCCACCGGTCGGCCGCTTGGCGATAAGCTCACCTCACCCAAGAATTGAAAGTTCTGACAGGCGGGGCGGAGGAGACTGCCTATTCGACTAGGTACCCCGAATTGAGCATTCGTGCTGACGGCCCTGAGCCTGGTTTGATCTGGTTTGATCCCCAGGCTGCGGTGCGCTTGCGGTTGTGTGTCCGTGGTGTGTGTGGTGAGACGGCAGATCCGTGCCATCACCCTCGAATCTATTGATAGCTCCTGTGAGAGCAGCATCACCGTCTATCTCTCTCGTCTCATCTCGCCTCGTTCATCTAGCTGGCTACTCTCTGCTGCGTGTGATAAATACCTGAGCTCCGCGCCCCTCGACGCTCAACGAACCAACCAACAACCCCCGCTCGGGGCATTTGTCATTCCACTCTCGATGCACCTGGTCGACACTCCATCTCACCCCGTCATCAGCACCATCATCAGCATCATCAACATACCATCCCGCTTCTCACCTCCCCCTGCCCCCATTCCACTGAAGCACCCCCGCCCTCTCACTGGCCACACACTCGGGGTCCCAGGAATCAGCAGCCAGGCCAGCCGCAGTGAGGCAAATAGGAGATTCCAGGCCCCCGCCGGGCAGCCTCAATGGCCAACAAATCAACACCAGGTGACGACCAGCAGCAGCAGCAGCAGCCGCCCCAAGGCCAGGAGTACATTTATGGCGCCTTCACCAACGGAGCCCTCGTCTGGACGCGGAACAATGTACAGGTCCTGAAGCAGAAGCAGGGCGACACGGCCTTTGTCAACACAGTCATCCAGCGCGGCGCGTCGACAGCCTCCAGGGCGGCATCATCGTCGTCGGCCACCTCCCCTGCCGCACCATCCGCAAAGGGTGGCAGAGGCGAGAGCAAGACAGCTCGCTTCCGCGTGCGTTTCCAGGATGCACGGCCTGCACCCACCTCCAAAGCCAGCGAGAAGCGCAGGCAGAGCGAGTCTAGGCGCGCGACCCCCGGCGCAAAGCTGGAGGCGGACCACTCGGAGCACCTCGTCGTGAGGCGGAAGAGCACATCTCCGGAGCAGCAGCAGCAGCAGCAGCATCTCAAACAAGTCCAGCCCAAGGCGCAGGAACAGAGCCCCGGGGTGCCGCCATGCATCAGCGGCTGGATCATGCACGACGTCCCCTTCACCATGACGGCCAAGGACAAGGCGGCCCTGCGCTTCTACCTCGACGTGCTGCCGCGGAGGACGTACCCCTTCGAGGCGTGGCACATCCTCACCTACAACCCGCTGCGGAACCGGGACATCTACGAGAAGCTCTTCAGCGAGGAGATGGTCCTCAAGTGTGCCATCTCCGTCGGCGCAGTCTACGAAGCGTCGTGCCAGGGGATTGAGACGATACCGGTCATGCATCACTACGCCAGATTGTGCCGCTACATAGTTGAGCTGCTGCAGCAGCCGTCTCTGGAAAATCGGAAGCACGTCCTGATCCAGGCCATATCCACCCTGGCCTTGCTAGCTGTAAGTTGACCTCGGCACTATTTAAATATCGATGTCTAGATTCAGGGATGGAATTTTAACACAGGTGATGTAGCACTGGAGCGATCGGGACGATCTATGGCACATGCACATGAACGGGCTGCAGCAGTTTATCCAGAGCACGGGAGGGGTAGATTCCCTAACCCCGGAGATGAAATGGATAGCATACAAGTAAGCAAGCAGAACCTACCAAGATGAGTAGAAATTCAACTGATTCACTCCAGGGCGGACATAACAGGCTCCGCGGAAAAGGCGCTCGACCCCCTCCTCCCCATCGCCAACCGCCAGCACCAGTCGGTCATGGACATGGTCGACGACGACAAGAAGCGCGAGATCACGGCCGTCTTCCGCCGCTGGGTGCTCCCCTGCTGCACCGACGAGAAGATGCTCGACATCTTCGTCTCGGCCGCCCTCTTCATGGTCGCCGTCTTCCGCGTCCGCGAGACGGGCACGGGGCAGTTCCACCCGGATGCTATGATGGAGGACCGCTACAGCATGGCCTACCTCATCCAGAACTACCCGACCCCCATCGGCGCCCCCGCGCGCGACGACAGCGCGAGCCCGGACGCCTCTTCGTCCTCGTCCTCGTCCTCGTCTTCTCCCGACACTGTCACGACCGCCTCCGAGGCCGCCGCGCTGCTCAAGGGCGTCGAGACGTCCATGCGCCTCGCCATCTCGCTGTACGGCAAGGAGATCGTCCACGACCCCTGGGACCGGGCGGGCGACCTCCCCGCGCTGCTGGGCCTCATGGCGCGGCACCTGCGGGCGG